GCGCCAAGGGGTCCATTGAGGTGGAGCCCCAAATCTGACAGTGATGGAGCGGCGAGCCACACCACGCCCGAATCACCGCGGCCAACGTCATACACACGAGGGTACGTCTATCATTGGTGGTTGTGGGAAGAGACGAGAGGACGGACTGCTCCCCGTCATGTTGAAACCATTCCCAAAAAAAACTTTTGCCTTCTTTCGGCCAAGGCTTGGAGCCTCTGCCAATGACGTGAAGCTTTCCACAATAGAAAGTAGGCAGACCCCAAGCAGGGAAAAAGCACAAGAGACGGAACAGTCCGACTCAGGATGCCCGCCTACACACGGGCGTTCTCCCGAGCCTTGGTCCTCCTTGAAGAGGATGCAGTCCGCGGTCACGCAGTACAGGCAAGGCAACCCCGTTTCGTCAAGTTTGCGGCCGTGATCCCTGGTTTGCATTGCGATGGAACTTTCGCCTCTTTCCCCGCAGTTGGTTGCTCGAAACTGGACAAATGAGACGAGAGGTGAGCGGGCGAGTGCAACGTAGCGGAGGGGAAACAAAGGTGGCAGGTCAGCGACATGTGGACTGGTTTGCCGGCCTTGGCCGGTTTTGTATACTTAGAGATGAGGGGTGGGAGAAGTCTTCTCTCGGAGCGCATGCAGACTGGCATGGCGGGTCGGCATGTGGTTGGTTTGCGACTCTGCTGTATACATGTTTCGGCATGTCATTCCAAGACAATGTTGGTTCGTCCGTCCATTGCTTCTAGCGTGGGTGTTGGGGACTATGTGTCGGGTTTGGAATTGGTGTCGCTGGTTGGTCGGTTGTCAACGGCGCCGAATCGCACTTCTGCCGTCCAGCCCAGCCGGCTTACAGACACAGCTGGACAGATGGAAGAGGATGCTCGTTCTCGTTCCAGTTTCGATGCGCCCCCTCGTGTGCGCAAATAGCAGCCGCAGCAACTGCAGCAGCAGAGCCCAGAAAAAGCGCGGCAAACCAGCGGCGCAGGCCCTCCACACACGTACGCACACATGCGGAGGCGACCGGTGCATCCTTCTGCTCTTGGAGCTCGAATCTAACCCGGGCGGGCAAGGCCACCAGTCCATCTCCTTTTTCGTGACAAGTTGTTTGCGTTAGTAGCGTTATTAGTGACCCAAGTCGACCCCGCTTTCTTCGACGAGCCTCGGGCCACCGGGGCCCTCTCAGCTTCTCGCAGGATAAAGACCGGCATACGGCCGGACCCACCGTGCCTCCGTGGAGTTCGCCGACGCAGACCGAAACTCGTGCAGTCGCAGTGCAACTGGAAATGACATCAATCTCATCACGAGGGGATCCGGCCCCCGTCCGCCCCCGTATCCCTCCACTTTTGCTCGCTGACCACGGCCGACATTGCTCGTCAATGTCGAGCCATGACCGACGTAACTCGGTGCATCCACCCCGAACCGACCCTTTGATGTAAGCGTCCCCTTCGTTCCGGCTTCTCGCGTCGAAGGATTCGCTTGCCTGTTGGATTTCTTCAATTTCCTCGTGGGCACATGTCAAAGTAACCCACCCCGTTCGACCCGTTCGCATTCCCCCAGTGGGGATGATCCTGCGTCTGGGGCCCCCGTTGACAGACCAGCGGGTTTGTACCAACGCCCAGCTCCTTGGTGCTCATCTCGTGACATCTCCACACGATCTGGGGATGGGGTAGAGGAGATGCATGGGAATGAGGGGTAGCTTTCGAGAAAGCTGTTGTTCCCCGTGGAGGGAGCTAACCCGACAAGCCGCGTGCGCTCTCTTGTTGGAGACGCAGGACCGAGACTGGAGCTGAGTTTCCCGCCTGCGTGGCACCTACAAATATTTTGTCAGCCCGTTGAAACTTTAGTCTTCATCGTGTGTCCCTCTTACTCTTCTCTCTTCATCCCGTTCCGCAAAGATACCCAACTTCGTCCCTTCTCCTCCTTCGCGTCGCGCCCGCCGCCGCCGTCTTTGAATGCTCTCGTCTCTTCTTCCCGGCCGATTCAAACAAGACTCCCACAACATGTCTCCCACTTCCGTGAACGGGGGCGCTGGCTCCAACATCTCCTTCGTCGGTGCCATTGACCAGGGCACCACGAGTACCCGTTTCCTCATCTTCAACCCGCGCGGCGAAGTCATTGCGACTCACCAGCTTGAGTTCAAGCAGATCTACCCCAACCCGGGGTAAGTTGCGCACGCCCGCGCTAACTCAATTGGCTCGTTGGAGCTGCGCCGTGAATCAGAAAGCTAATGCGATCGCGACAGCTGGCATGAGCACGATCCCGAGGAGCTTGTTTCCTCGGTCGAGAAGTGCATTGACGGCGCTGTCCAAGCCTTCGAGACCCAGGGCCACTCCCGCGACCAGATCAAGGCTGTCGGTATCACCAACCAGAGAGAGACCACCGTCCTTTGGGACAGAACCACCGGCAAGGCCCTGTACAACGCCATCGTCTGGACCGATACCCGTACCAAGGACCTCGTCCGCCGCCTGAAGCAACGCCTCGGTGCCAGCGAGCTCACCCAGCGATGCGGTCTCCCTCTTTCCACATACCCCTCCGTGGGCAAGCTTCTTTGGCTGCTTGAGAATGTCCCGAGGTCAAGGATGCTTACGAGCGCGGAGTCCTGGCTTTCGGCACCATCGACACATGGTTGGTGTACAAGCTCAACGGCGGCATTGCCCGCGACGTCTACGTCTCGGATCCCTCCAACGCTGCCCGTACCATGTTCATGAACATTCACACTCTTCAGTACGACGAGGACCTCATTGACTGGTTCAGAATTGACCCCAAGAAGGTCAAGCTTGCCAAGATCGTCCGCTCCTCGGACCCCGAGGCCTACGGTTCTCTGCACAACACACTGTTGAGCGGCACAAAGATCACGGGCTGCTTGGGTGACCAGTCTGCTGCTCTGGTCGGACAGAAGGGTTTCACTGCCGGTCTCGCGAAGAACACCTATGGCACCGGTTGCTTCCTGCTCTACAACATCGGCCCTAAGCCCGTCATCTCCTCCCACGGTCTGTTGACGACGGTCGCCTTCGACTTTGGCCCTGGCAAGACCATGTACGCCCTCGAGGGTAGCATTGCCGTTGCCGGTTCTAGTGTCAAGTTCCTCGTCGACAACTTTGGGTTCATTGAGTCGTCCTCCAAGCTCGGCGCGCTCGCCGAGACCGTCGAGGACAACGGCGGATGCACCTTCGTCACTGCTTTCAGCGGTCTCTTCGCCCCGTATTGGATCGACGATGCCCGCGGTACCATCTTCGGCATCACTGCCTACACGCAGCGTGGTCACATTGCCCGCGCCACTCTCGAAGCCACTTGCTTCCAGACCAAGGCCATTCTGGACTCTATGGAGAAGGACAGCGGTGCGGCTCTGACCGAGCTTGCCGTCGACGGTGGCATGTGCAACTCCGATCTCGTCATGCAGGTAAGAACAGGAAAACACCCCCCGGCCGGACCATATCCGAATCTCGGGCGAAGATAACAAGCTAACCCATGTCACAGACCCAGTCCGACATCATTGGCATCCCTGTCAACCGCCCAGGCATGCGCGAAACCACGGCTCTTGGCGCGGCCATCGCGGCAGGCTTTGCTGTGGGCGTGTGGAAGAGCTTCGACGAATTGAAGGACGTCAACCTCGAGGGCCGCACCATCTTCAAGCCCGCCATCTCCGACGAGGAGGCTTCCGAGCGTTTCGGCCGTTGGGAAAAGGCCGTCCAGATGAGCAAGGGCTGGTCGAGCTAAGAGGTTTCCTCTGTTGCTGTGCTTTTTCACGTTCTGATGTCTTGTTCTTTTTCTTTCTTTCTTTCTTTCTTATTCGATATACCACATTCTGCTGTTTGGGAGGTCGAATCACGATGGCGTGCGCGCATGGACTTTTTGGCGCCACTTGGAGAGAAAAATCCGTTCTGTATCATAGGCAGTACGACGATATGACGCATTTTACCTCTGTCGAAATCCGCCTTTGTGTGTGTGCCCGGAAGCTGCTTCACCTTGCCCCGACCCTTGGTGCAATCTTCGCAAGACTGCCAAGTGGACAGTTTCAGGGAAGCCCGCAGTTGCATCTCCGTCTCGATGCCACTCCACGTGCGTATGTTCCTTGCAATCCGGATGATCGGAGGGTAAATCGTCTCCACGTCTCCATCCGTCCCGTTCAGACTGAGTCGCGAACACAACCACTACGGACTGCAAATGACTTCATCGGATAAGCTGAGCATGTCGTGCGGCCTTGTTCCGAACAAGACCCTCCAAGACAGAGCGTAGTGAAACGCCAACCACTTGATAGCTGGCGAATGGATCTAGGGCCTGCGGGAGAAGACATTATCGAAGCCACTGCCGTGCCCCCCACAGTTTGACGGTTGCGCCGCCCCATGGATGATCCTCGCGGGAGTAGGCTCAACAGGGGGGGGGAACGGCGAGGAGCGGGGAAGGGTTCGGAGTGGCCGGGGGTGCGGCATTCTTTGCCAAACAGAGGCTTGTCGGTTGCAAACTTGGAGACAAGATGAGGGGAAGAGAGGCGGCGCGGTTCCTGCATGTCGTGCTGTAGTCTTCTTGTAACCGCACCGTTACCTAGTCCGTTGTGGTGTCCATTTGTGCAAGTCTGGTGACAGACGGCTTCGGAGGTGGCTCTTCTTCTCGTAATCACCCCCCAAGGCGCCCCAAGGGTTCATCGTTGGACGCAACGATGTCCCCTCATCCGACCCGTCCGTCCCATACTTGCAGGCGGATGTGCTTGTGTGAGGGTTTTCCGGAAACCGGGAGTTTTGGGGCGCAAGTGGTTGGTGCGCAACGACGGCGCGTGGGGGAGTCTTTATTCGTGTAATTCCGTCGTCTTCCGTAGCTGTGTAGCGCACGCAGGCAGCCTGGCAGAAGTTGGCAGCAGTTGAGTAGTTATGTTGCTGCGCAAAGATGACCCAACTCTTACTGTGGACGAGAGTGGGCCGATAACTGGATCCTTCTTTTTTCCTTCGCATCCTTACAGCGCTTTTGTGTGTCGGGTGAAAACCCCGAGGCGTCCCGCGGCTCTCAGTCAGACTCAGACACACCAGTGTTTGCTGACAAAGTCGCTCATCGTGGTCTTGGCTCGCCGAACTTTTTCCACTTGGTCGACCAGCATTTTCGCCTCTCGCTGAAGATTCGGTGCTTGTTTCCCACTCTCCACTGTTCGACTTGCAGGCTGCACTCTGCAGCTTTGAGCACACAAGACGACACCGACTGACTGACACGAACACGTTGGCTGTCAGGCGCTCTGCTGGATTCGGCTGTCCACGTTTGACCCCCTTCCGCGACGCAGCCAACCACCGCGGACAAGGCCGGATATGACCCATGCGCCTCCAGGTGCTGCGGCGCATTCCTTTTCTGCAGCATCCTGGACCTAACCGGCTGAGGCAACTCACTGTTCTGCCGTCTGCTACTTGCTGCTGCTGCTGCACGTCCGCCTACTAGTGAAATGACCATTTTCTGACATCAAACTCGGCAAGGCTCCTCAAGGCTCCATCCAGAAGGGTCCTGATAAGAGCAACACCATCGCGGTCCGTCAAGTAAAAAGGGGAAATGTGGAGTTCCCACGACAATGGGACAAACATGCTAGACACGAATGCACGTCCGCAACAAATGGCCGAGGAGGAAGCGAACTCGGTGTTCAGCCACGACGAGGGCTCGAGTGGTGATGACACGACCAACAACGGCTCGGCCGGCGCACCGAGGAAGCGCAAGAGGGAGAAGCACCAAAAGACATCGTACGTTGCTTGCCGTTGATACTGTGACCCCCGAACTGAGATGAACGGACTTTGGCTGACCGAACTCCAGATGCGAGCTGTGCAAGGCGAGAAAGGTGAAGTGTGATCGTGCAGAGCCTGCATGCTCATGGTGTGCCCGACACAACCGAACCTGCGTCTATCTGGAAAGACAGAAACCGGGAAGTCGCATTGGGTTCAGTCTCGAACTCGAAGCCAAAGTCAACAGGCTCGATGCTCTTCTGCAGGCTCTTGGCCGTCGTGTAGAGGAGCACATCTCCAATGACCACGTCGCTACTGCGCCAGCTCTCTCGCCAGCCATCAGCAACCAGGCGCCCTCCCAACCCGAGGGGTTGCATCAGGATGTGAATGGCGTCAGCCCAGCCCCTGGCCTTCCTAGATCAGCACCTACGTTGAATGGCAGAACACCAGCCTACTCGAGCCCCTTCTGGCAGGGTGGCGATGCACAGGAAGCCCTTCAGAATGGTGATCGAACCTCCGTACAGGCCCTCCTGAACCTCTCGGCAAGCGAATCTTTTAACCAAGCAGGCGCATCACCCAGTGTTGCCGGGCCTCGTAAAGATGCATCCTCTGTTCAGACCGTGTCGGAGTTCCCACCACACGACATGCTCTATACGCTTGTCGACCTGTACTTCAAACATTGTAACACCTGGTGTCCTATTCTGGACCGCAAGACGACTTTCGGTGCCTTCTTTGGCTCGACATCTCTCAACGAAGCCGACCGGGTCCTGTTGCACGCGATTGTTGCAACAACCCTGAGGTTTCTGAAAGACACGCGACTGTCGCCCGAGATGCGGTCTCACTACCACGCGGTATCGAAACACCGGGTGCAGATATACGCGATGGAGAACGTCAGCATTGCGGCGCTGAGGGCCTTGGTCATCCTCTGCCTGGATGAGTTGGGAACCTCCAATGGACCCCGTGGCTGGAATATGCTTGCGCTCCTCGCGCAGAATGTGAGGCAGCTGGAACTCTGCGAAGAAAGCAGCGTGTACCTCACGGCCGAAGCGGAGGAAACACCACATACCGGTTCGATCCGTAGGGTTACGACGGGACGACCTGAATCTTGGATCGAAGATGAGGGCCGCCGGCGACTTTGCTGGATGGTGTACCTCCTCGATCGGTACGCAACGATTGCAACGACGACATTCGATTTCATGCTCGATGATAACAAGATGAAGCGCGGTCTGCCGTGTTCGTACGACCTGTTTTCCCGCAACGTTCCCGTCGAAACGAGGTCATGGAGCCCGTCGTCCGACCAGACTGGTAGCCCAGCCATAAACAAACCCGAAAACCTCGGCAGTTTCTCATATCATTGCGAGATCCTGCGAATCCTCAGCAAGGTCCACGACTTTCTCAAGACACCCATCAATGTAACATCGTCAGCCGAGATGGCTGTTTGGCGCAACACATACAGATCATTGGACGGCGCGCTCGACAGTTGGCTGCAAAGCCTGCCGAGCGAATACAGCAGAATATCGGCTCTGTGTCACTCCGATCCAGCAAGCCGCGTCGCCAACTGGTTTATGCTGCATAGCGCCTATGTCACGTCGGTCGTACGCCTGCATTCCTCTGCTGCGTACCCTACCGTAAGATCGCACATCTTCGTCCCATCGCACTATGCAATGCAAAGATGCTTGTCTGCTGTGCAAAGTCTGGGTGACATTGCGCAAGATGTGTTTGAGGCAAACGGTCTTGATCTTTTGGGCCCTCCTTTTGCATTTTCCCTGTGGGTAGCCGCAAGACTGCTACTCATCCACGCCGCAACTGTTGGTTGTCCTGTTGATCCAAAGATTGACTTCTTTATCGAAACCCTGCGTCATGTTGGGCAGTACTGGGAGGTAGCGAATAACTACGCCAAGATCCTCGCTCGAGTCGTACAACGCGGCCGTCAAGGCGACATGAGCTTCACCGCCATGAGAAAGCGAGTAACCCGAGTCCCCCGCCTGCTCCTGTCCCCTGCTAACAGTGTGTCTTCCAGGAGCGCCTACGATTTAGTCACGTTGACATCCTCCACGCGACGGTCCGGACTGGAGCCGACATCAACTCAAGTAACGTCTTTGAGCGAACTGGACAATATTGACGTTTTTGACTTTTTCAATTACCCCAAAATGCTGGAGCCGACAAGGGCGGCCAACGGCCAAACGAACCTGCTGCAGTCGCAGGCCATGAGCGGGTTGGGCGGCGATTCCATGAGGACTACAGGGCTGCCAGATCCAGAGTCGGATTGGCTTGGCTTCAACACTCCCTTCAACTGAGGCCGTGATGGCGTGGTTTGTTTTCCATTATTTCTTTGAGGGGCCGATGTCTCCAATTTTAGACACAAAAAACACACCGAAAGCGAAGCTGGCGCTAGGAGGGACTTGATGGATATTGTTACGGCGTTCGTGGGGCGTTGTACCTCATTGATGGATCTCGTGTGGCTTCGCGATACAGCCGCAAGGAAAGCCACGAGAACCGCCCAATTGAAATTGCTGATCCCCGCACAAGCTGACGAACGACGCTCCACTGTGACTGGCTGAGCCACTTATGAACGTCCGTGTCCGATGACGTTGAAACGCTCTTCTTGGTCCCCTCCATCACCTTCAACTCCAACTGTTCTCGCAACTTTGACGGACGTATCGGTTCGTGTGCTCAACCTAGACGACTTTTGTGAGATTTTACCTGTACATCTTTTGAACAATCATGGCGCCAAACCAAGGACTCGTGCACCTCAAGGAGTACGATATCAAGGACAGCAATGTCGAGCTCATCGGCACAGACATCGACCACCAGGTGAAGTACAAGTCCGCGGCCACTGAGCCAGCTTGGAATGAAGGCGGGGTCGGCCAATCGGCGGGACTGCACGTCTGGCGCATCGAGGATTTTGAGGTTAAGCCGTGGCCGAAGGAGAAGTACGGGCAGTTCATGGACGGTGACAGCTATATCGTGCTCCACTCGTACAAGGTCGGCAGCAAGGAGGACGCCGAAAAGCTAGGCCACGACATCTTCTTCTGGCTCGGTGCCCACACTTCGCAGGACGAGGCCGGCACCGCTGCGTACAAAACAGTGGAGCTCGACGAGTTCCTGCATGGTGCTGCGACGCAGCATCGCGAGCTGCAGTCGGCGCCGTCCGACGAGTTCCTAGAGCTGTTTCCTCGTATCTCAATCCGCTCGGGAGGCGTCAAATCCGGATTCCGTCATGTTGAGGACGAGGAGCCCAAGGAGGAGATCCTTACTCTGCTGCGCATCTTCAAGAACCCGTCTGTGGGCGCCAACGGAGTCGTGGTGCACGAAGTCGAGCCGACGTGGCAGAGCTTGGACGAGAGCGATGTGTTCGTCCTAGACACGGGCGACAAGATCTGGCAATGGCAGGGCAAGAGCTGCAGCCCGATGGAGAAGGCCAAGGCAGCGCAGGTGGTTAACGACATGACACTGGCCAAGCACATTGACGTCGAGGTTCTGGCGCAGGAAGAGTCGAGGTCCCGCGTCATCGTGACTCTTCTTGGGGCAGCGACGATACGCCTCAGTCCGGGTTTCAATGCCCCAGGCCTGTCCGGTCAGCGTCCAAGGCGCATGCGGGCGAGAGACCCCAGAAGCTCTTCCGACTCAGCGATGCCTCGGGCGAGCTCAGATTCGACATCGTCAAGGATGGCAGCAAGGCGGCTCTTGCGGACTTTGACGGGCAGGATGTCTTCTTGTTGGATGATGCGGGCCGGGCCGTCTGGGTATGGGAAGGACAGGGTGCCAGCAGGGGAGAGAAGGCGAACTGGCTCAGAGTTGCGCAGGCGTATATCCGCCAGCTGCAGGGAGGATCTGAGGCTGAAGAGGCCTATCTCACGCCGCTGGCCAAGGTGACGCAGGGTAATGAGAACCGGGCATTCTTGAAGGCTGTGCAAGTGTAAGGTGAAGGAGGTTTTTAGATGGCGGCAATGTCAGGCACTATCTGTAATCAGTTTGAGTCCACATGCTCGTGGCCGATGCTGTGCTGGAAACAGTTCTTCGCCGAAGAAATTGTGCTGGTCTCTCCGAGTCGATGGTCCAGATGTGACGCTTATACGTGAGGGCACAGATGTCGTGTAACTACAGGCTTTGATATGTACAGGCTCACGTTGAGCGAACGTTGGTAAGCGACAGAAGACGTAAAAATGCTCAGGAGGGGACTTGTGATAGTCGGGCCCAAATCCTCATTCGTCATGTTCATGGCAGAGAGACAGCGTAATGGTCATTTTGTGGCTGGGAGCAAAGAACCGGCAGAGGAAGTCGTGCTCCACCGCGCCTTCTTTCTGAGCATGACATGTGCTTGCCTACCTTACCTTAACTCAGGTGGAAAGAGGCAGGGGTGAGACCGGTCACCAGCGGCGGCAGGATCTCCCGACCAATGGTGCTTAGGGAGCCACACCAAACCAAGCAATCCTTCGGACAAGGACCGCCTCCGAAGTAATGGCCTAGCCCCAGCTCGACATTCTTCCTCATCCAAAAGCCATGCTTACAGCTCTGGGAGCAACCGGCAGTCATTGTGGCGTACGCCGCCTACTCGCATTACGCAGAGATGATAGTCCTCACAGCTAGCGTGAAGCCCATGTCAATGAAAAGAACATGGACTTTGGGCCTGGGAGATACGAGATGAATCTAGGTAAAGCAGCCAACATATCACCACGTGGATAGGTGCAAAGGCGTAGAAATAGAACCAGTGTGAGAATCAAGTATGATACATGTTGAGGCGAGTTACTGTTGTCATACGATAGCTCTCTTGGTGCTGAAAAGTCAACCTCGAAACACCTGCAGCCCCGGACGCAATGCCGCAAAACGGGCAAGCCAACAGAAGGCCTAGCCAATTCTTGATGTAGTCAAGGGCGGTTGCTTGCGTGTGATTCGGCTGCTACTGTCGACTACATGCGAGGCACTGCTCCCAATGTTGCCAGGGTTCTCGTTAGCTTCATCAAGATGGTGCGACTTGCATTGCACCCCGCCGTAAGCACATCATGACGGTAAACAGGGGTGCCAAGGCTGTTGGTAGTATATGCAAAGTCTGAACAGAGCTGGCCTATCGAGGCTTCGATGCAAACATCGGTTTGGAGCAAGTCAGCACCATGTTTGTGATTGTTCCATCTGGTAGTGGTGCATCTCCAGGTGCTGATCGTGGATCGTTCCGAGTCTGTTGGACCCTTGAATCATCTGGCTTACTCTTCTTTATGGGACTCATGAGAGAATGAGAGATTTCAGCTTGAGGCAAGATTGAGATGAAATGGCATTTTGCCGAGACTGCAGGATCCGGAGCCGGTAGAAACCCGGGTGCCGGATTTTGACCGGAGCTCGAGAGCCGGCTGGGTCAACCCGAGAAGCTTTTCGATCCAGACAGGAAACACGCATCGTGAAGCCGTGATTCTCATACCGCATATGAGATTAGCGCAGCAATCTTTCAAAACAGCGGCCTTCAAAATGAGCTGAACTTGACTTCAAGCTTCTCCTCACACGCCCTCGGCGTTGAGAATAATACACCGTTTTTCCGCCCGATTCCTTTGATGGTTGAAGTACGGGCAAGTGATCCTGGATACTGCAGCAGGCTGTCTCGACGAGATCCGACCAACTGTGGTCGGGCGAAGTGGGGAAGAACGAGTAGAGATTGGTTGGAAACCTGGCCTGCTCTTGCGCCGATAAGGACACCCAAAAAGGTGCAAGAATCATATGGCGTCCTGACCCATGTCTTCTTCGATTTCGCCTCGATGAGAACGGGCGTTGGCGATGTCGACGTGGTCCAATCGATGGACTCACGAGGTGTCGGTGAAAGCAAGTGGCGCCTCTGCCTCATGCAGAAGTGACGCGATGTGAGGCCTCCCCGCCTCACTTTCCCGCTTCACTTTCGCGTCGGGATCCGCCTTGTGAGGCCTCATGAGGCCTCATTCTGCCTGGTGTTTAGGCATCAATGGTTCGCCAAAGCCTGACAAGGCGTCCGACTTGCCTTGTCTTGACAAAATGGTTCGCACCTGGCCTGCTTGTGTCCGGGCATGGATGCAGCACAGCTGTGACCAGTTGTTCCCAGCTGCCATCAGTGGCACTGTTGATCGAGAACTGTGCTGCTCTTCGATGCCAAGAATGATGGATTCTTCAGGGAGCGGAAGAGAATGTCGAGTGGGATTTCTGGTTAATGGTGTTGGTACAGGAAAGAGGCATATACGATTCGGGAAGACAGGATAGAGTTATCCGTCGGATGAGTCCGGGCCCGCTCAAGACAACGGGGTTTGAGGGTAATGAAAGCCATCTTTGACGAGTGAAGATAACTTGGGTGAGGATAGATATTAAAGAGTTCGTTGCTCGTCGGGGAAGCCGAGAGAATGAGGAAGGAAGAAGAAGTGATGCCCCTTGAAAGGTGGTGGGATCGTGGTCTTTTAAGATCTGTCTTAGCAGGATTCGAGCCTTTTTAGAAAGAGTTACGCTGCACTGCCCTGCAGTACCCCACTAGTGTCTGGGGGCTGCATATGCTCTTCGTATGTCCTCCAATAGTGTCTAGGGTGTGCATATGCTCGTCGTATGGCCCGTAGTTTCATTCCATGGTTGGCGGACTTCTCCACCTACTGACAGAACTTTGAGGGTTGTGATGGGACGGTATTGGGTAAAAGGAACCGGTAGGGCTGATTTATAAGGCGACAAAGACGGCAAATGAGTGGAAAATGCAAGGCGAACCATGCGGACCATATTACTGCATCCTTCTGGCCTGTTATACCTATACGGATGGTGGGTCTCAGATTATTCGAGCACGCAACAATTAGCGCCGGCTGCCTCGTCTTCATCTCTTAGCCAAACTTTGACCTGTTTATATGGATGGTCGATCTCAGATCATTCGAGCACGAAACATCAGCCAAAAACACCCACGGTGCGTGCCAGCAGAAGAAGTGACGTTCGGTCGTAGTACTCTGCAGACTTCTCGAGGTGCACAAAATCTTGCGGGTCTTGACACCCTCTTGGTTACGTCTACTTACCGAGACGTGGCATTTGGAGTTGCACAGTGGCTGGGCTGTCTCACACCCCCCGAATCTCATCCTGGTGAGCAAACACGCCTCACTTGTCGTTTCTCTTCGTCCTTCAAGTCATCTCGTGATGTTCCCACCACCCGTCGGTGGTAATGGCACATACGTGGCACGATTCAAATCGTCGAAATAATTATGCTCACTTCATAACGCCGGAAAAGGAATATGGTTTAAACTTTGATTCGTAGAATTACAGTGGTGCAAACTACAAATTACTGCGAGGCATCGCCGTGTATCCTCCGCCTCATGCTATTTATAAAAAGAAGGAATCTAGTTGTGGGCAGGAAAAACAAAAGTCTATGGGTTATAAAGAGTGTGTATCGTGTCATTAAATCGTGATAGGAAAAGAAAAAAAGAAATCCCAATAGAGTCACATTCAATCTCAAGCCTGGGGCGCGGCGGTGCGCTTGGGCATCTCCATGTTGATGCCGCGGAAGCGCAGACCGCGCTTCTTCTTGGACGAGGTGCTGGAGGTGCTGGAGCACCTGACGCCCTTGCCATGGCCCCCATCGTTGCTGGTGACTTTGTCGAGTACTCTGGCATTCAGGCCGACGGCGAGATCCTGGTGTACAACCTCGTCGTGAGCAACATCCAAATCACCACTCTTGGGGCACCAACCTACATCCGCATGGAAGACGCCAACATCGGCGTCTGGACCGCCGACACCGTTAACCAGGAAATTGCGCAGACTCGGGTACGTTTCCTACACTCTCCACCATAGTGATCTTGAAGCTGATGAACGCATCACAGTTTGTCGGATACACTTCGGACTCCTCCAACAACGTCAAACCCATCAAGATCTACGCCATCGAGTACGACCCCTGCACTGGCCAAGGCGTCGACCGCGAGATCGCCGGCGTGGCCGTCCCCAACACCGAGGCCCGCAACAAATTCGAGTACCGGATCAAGGCGACCCAGAGCGACCAGTACGCCCGCGAGTACCGCGTCGTTGCCGGGACCGGAACAGTGACGACCAAGAACGGCATCGTCGCGGGCCAGTACGTCATGCCCGTGTCCGAGTGGATCCAGCCCGAGGACAGCGTCCCCGGCCGCCCTCCTACCCCCCACGACTTCAGCAGCTACTCGTTCCTGACAAAGGGGCTGGGCCGTGATAGCGACAACCAGCTCTGGGGCCCGCTCACCCCGTTCCCCCAGACTGGCGTTACTGTCTACGACACCTCCAAGTGCGCGCCCGCCACCGGCACAGGCACGGGAACTGGCACCGGTACCGGCACCGGTACTGGCACCGGCACTGGCACCGGCACTGGCTCTGGAACCGGATCCGCGCCCGCCGCAGCCAGGTACAAGGACGTCGTGACCATGCCAACTCTCAACTGGGTCTCGTCCCAGAGCGGCACCCTCACCGTTGCCTGCCAGTCCAACAGCACCGACGACGCCGCTGTTGCGATGAAGGTTAGCTACGCCAACAAGGACGGCATCACCACCAACCTGACCATGACGTCTGGTGGCAAGGGTCTCTGGAACTTCCAGAGCAATAAGATCAAGCAACCAAACACTGGCTCGGTCATCTGCAAGAGGCTCTGTCTCTCGCTGATATGGCATTTGAGGCCCGTTCCGGTTGCTATTCCTCTTTTCGGCTTGATAGACCTGCCTTTGTTGTTTTTTCCTTTTCCTTTATGTGACTTAGACTCGCTGCACTATACCTATAGACTTAGACTACTGATGAATAACGATTATAACAACCAGCCAATCACTCCGTCTCATTGTGAGAAGACACAGTATTGAGTGTCAAATTGCTGCTTCAGAAGTCAGCAAAGCTGCTTGAATGCGAAGGCAGTACTTTCTGCTCTCAAGGTAACAACATCCCCTGACACACGTCTCCGGGGCCTGCTTGTCAACTTTGGCCCAGACCTGCCGGCACTTCTAGTCAAAGTGCCAATGCCAAGCCACATCAAATATGAGCCTGGCTTGCTGTCGTGTTGCATGGAAGGCAGGATAGCGCCAAGTCGTTGCGTGTTGGTGCAGGATGCTAGCGCGCGGTAGAAATGACGAGGAGGCCAACATGCGAAATTGGACCCTGACTCGCGTTCGCAGACCGAATGGACTATTGATTCTACCCCAGAAAGTATAGCATCGAGGTTGTGCATCTAGGTCGCATGTGGCGCCAAGTCGCGAGCTGGACTGAGCCGAAGGCATCGTCTTTGTCTAGCACAAACATGGCTGGTTAGGCGTCTCGCGGTCGCGCCGCCACGTGTTTTCGACTGTCAATGCAGGTCAAACACAAACGATTCGAAAAATTACTCTTGGAATTTCACGTAACAAAACCATCTCTACTGTAGTCAACGTCAAATTTTCAATGTGGTGCAGTAAGTGCAAGTTGTTAAGAACGTCCAGGATGCAATGCTTCACTGCAAGGGTTATTATTCCAACTAAAAAGCCGTCATAGAACAGCGTAAGGTCTTGTGGCATCCTACAGAACCAAGCCTTGGATTGCAGTCTTCTATTTTTCTCTTGGATGAGGTTGGTTTTACAGGTTTTTTTATAAAAAAAAAAAACTCAGCAGCTGGGAGCCTCGGATAAGCACGGTATTCTTCAGCCCCTATTAAGTCCACAGTATTGACTCGAGTCACATGTTCATTTGTCGCTATGCGAGCATTAGCAAACAGGGATCCGGCCATTCGGTATTCTGTCCGACCTTTTTCTTGCTTGAGTTATATCTTACTGGAAGTATTGTCCCTTGAAACCTGGGAGGATCTCCTGCCCCTCAGACGACTGGTAGGTGACACCCTTCTTCTGCTGCCATGTCTGCTTGAGGGTGGTGAACTCGCCCATTGTCGGGACGCGGTGACCCCCGGCCTCGAACTCGTTCTGAGTGAAGCCCCCGCGCTTCAGCACAGGTGAGTCGATGGTCTTGAGCACGAGGTCATTTTGAGGACGAGCGAAGTAAAGCAGACCCAGGCGGTCGACGTGACGCTGGTCCTTGGGCGGCACAGAGACCTGGTACCATAGTCAGCACAACGAGCCCACGAAGAATCCGGGTGCAAAGGCGAACTTACCCTGTGAACGGTCGACTTGACGTAACCTCCAGTCAGGAAGCTGAGGGCGTCGCAGGTGTTGACAGTCAGACTGCCATCAAGCGGCTTAGCCCACTTCCAGTTGCCAGTCTCATGGTCTCTAATCTGCAGCGCGGCTACCGGCTGGCGGAACAGAAGAGTGATGGTGCCCAGGTCGGTGTGTCCGCGAGACCACAAGCCGTCGTCGAGCTTTTCGATTTCCTCGGGGGTGAACTTGGAGTACTTCATGTAACGCAGGTGGGACTCGTCGTGCGTTTCCCACTTGTGTACCTTGGTAAAAAAGTCCTCGGGCAGCTCCAAGGCCAAAGCGATGAGGTGGTTCAAAGGGTCCAGCACCTTGTCATGCAAGTCCTGCGAGGGTCGTGAGCAAAAGCTTGTGAGTAATTGACGATAGCGGTGCTCTGAATACCTTGGCAAATCCCTCAATCTCTTCTTTGCGGTCTTCCAGCAGAGTGGGAAGGGGCTGTGTGATGTGTCCAGCCTTGGCTGATAGTTACATTCGTCAGTCGTGGGTCTCCATGTAGTATGCAGGTAGGTGGCGGCAGAACTTACTGGCCATGTTCCAGACTTCGGTCTTGTCCTTGATGCCGCCACTCAGGAACCGTCTGCCTGCAGGACGGTATCCGTTGTAGTCACCGGAATCCAAGTCCGGCTCATACTTGAGCTTCTCCTCTAGGGGAAGCTCGTAGAACTTTTGACCGAGAGCAAATTGTGTGTCAACAGCCTCTTGTGAGATGCCATAGTTGATGACATAGAAGAACCCCTTTGTGCGGATAGCCTCAATCAGAGTCTGGGCGAGCTCTTTGTTGCCCTCTGGTGTGCCATACTTGGCGAGGTCAATGGTTGGGACTGCAAGGGGTTCTTTTCTTAGCTCTAGACCCTTGGGATGGTTCGTGATTTCTCACTTGCGGCGAATACATACGGTCAGCCCAATCAAGATTCTCCTCCGTCTCGGGGACGTGGCTGTATTGGTACAACTGGGAAACAGCGGAGGGCATCTTGGGCGGTGAGACGGGGTATCTTTTCTGAGGTAGCAGATCTCTGTCGAAAGCTCACATTACCCAAGCCCCAGGGTTCCAAGCTCGCCATTTAACTATCAACCATGAACACTGCCCCGTGCGTCGCAATTCTGGACCTTACAAACCACACGTATTGAGCCGATACGGCACCTGTTTCTGCAACCCCCCATTAGCACCTTGGCCATCAAAAGACCAATGACAGCAAGCTGATTTTGTTTCATCGCTCTCCAGGATTGCACACTTGCAGCTTACCCCGCGGCCTCCATACGCAACGAGACCACTTTGTTTGGTTGAGACGCTTGGAGATGCGAGATCGCCGCATGTCATCATTTGATAACGGATGGCGCAATCCCCACCCCCGCCGTACGTCGTCGGCTTTCACATTACGGCGCCGGACATCCACGCCAGTGACAACTACAGCCGTCTCCAATCATTAGCCGGAAACTCGCTCCGTCGTACAACTCGACTGCCGGAAGATCACCGAGTTCGGCGGGACATGGACGTTGGTGTGCCTAGACTCGCGATCTCATTGCCGCATCGGAGACTATTGGCATTGGCGTTACCCGCTATCCCGCGTCTTCCCCCAGCACAATTGGATATTCGTCATTCCTGGCATGATGGCGAATAGTGGGTGGAAGTTCTGGGCGAATGCACGCGGTCGCGTGTCGGCGGGCGAGGCCCGGGGGAAAGCATATCGCGGACGATATGTCGCTTGACGCTGACAGAAGCAAGGGTGAAAAGTGGCGACTCCTCATAAACCTGTCAACATATTGGCGAAACTTGGGTAAAAATGAGATTTCGAAGGGTTTCCTCTTTCAGATAGACGTATATAACACCTCTCAAGCTGAAGTACCGGACGTGGATGCAATCTATCGGCCTGTGTTCGACAGTAACTTTTGCTAACAATGGGGGGCATTATACAATCAATGAGGAAGAGCAAGGTGGGGGCGGTGGTGATATCGGTGTTTGACTGGTATCGTAAGTACTTAGAAGTACCGGTCAAACCGAGGAGCGTGGCTGACATCAACAGCCTCTCACTATTCAACGGCGGAAAAAAGGTTGCTTAAGAAACTGGACCTCGCGATTCTCGTCTTCGGAAGTTTGAGCTGTAAGTCTCATGATTATGAAATCTAGATATGTAGAGTGGCTAACCCAATTGGCACTTACAGTCTTCTGTAGAGTCAGCATAAGTCAACATCAGCTCGCCAACAGTACAAGGCTAACCCACCAGTAGTTCCTCGGTCAGCAAAATATCACAAACGCATACGTCTCGGGAATGCGGGAAGACCTCAACGCATGGGGAAATGAGCTGAACTACTACGTCGTAGCTTGTAAGTTGTCTTTGTGTCAGCAGTTAACCATGGGTAACGCTGACTGATGGCTAGATAACACGGCCTACGTGATCGGACAAATCCCACTTATGACTCTTCAAACCAAAGCCAAGATGTATGGCCGTAGCCAACAGTACTCCGTGCTGTGAGACTCAAGATGCTAACGAGCTATAGTGCACCCTTCCTGCTTCCCTCGTTGCAAATTATCTGGGCAGTCATTGCATTTTCGCAGTCTGAGATCAAGTACAGCTGGCACCTGTACATTTTGCGTGCCATCACTGGCTTCTTAGAAGCTTCGTCCTTTGGAGGCACCCATCTCATTCGTGAGTCCTTTTCGAGAATTTGATTTGCATCTGATTGCTCTGCTAACTCGACGTCAGTTGGTAGTTGGTTCAAGAACGAAGAGCTCTTTAAGCGTGCCGGAGTTTGGTTCATGGGCAACTCCCTCGGCTCCATGTTTTCAGGGTATCTCCAGGCGGCAATTTTTCGCAATTTGAATGGAGTCCTTGGGCGTTCTGGATGGAGATGGCTCTTCATCGTACAAGGCATTATAACCTTGCCCATCTCCTTCCTAGGTTTTGCGTTTTGGCCTGGCTTGCCCACCTCGCCGAGGAGATGGTACTTCACCGCAGAAGATCATGCACTTGCTGTGAAGAGGATTCCGACTGTCGAGCAAGAGGGTATCACCTGGAAGACGTTCAAGTACACGCTCTCCCGCCCAATGTGGTGGATCTGTGTTCCTTGCTACATGTCAGTCAACAGTGTCATCAACCATGTGGCCTCCAATTCATATACTGATACTTCCCAGCTTCTTGTGTCAGGCGCATTACTGGACAGGCTACATGGCTTTATGGCTCCGCGCTGCTGGATACTCGATTGAATTGGTGAACATTCTGCCGACCTTCATTGACCTTTTGCGCGCTTTGTCTTCGTGGCTTGGAACGACATTGGCTGGTTGCTTGAGTCTTCGTGGACTCTGGTCCTTCCAGGCGGTAGGTGTCGAGTTGCGCTACACCCCTTGAGTGTTGATGCTGACGTAGTACAGTCCTTCGTTCTATTTGCATGCATCGTCTTGTCGGTATGGAATGTCCCTGACATCCTGAAGTTTTGCGCCTTCTACTTTGGAGGTTTCTCCGGCATGGCTTCCCCAATCCTGGTGAGTGGTTTCAACGTTCCAGACAGAGCGGAGAGTCATTTGTTAACAAGCTGTCAATAGTATTCCTGGCTCAACTCCACTCTCAAGGAGAACTACGGTGAACGGGGTCTCATCATTTCTTCTATGATGACCTTGGGTTTCTGCGGTCAGATCTGGGTTCCTTTATTCACTTTCCCGACAGTTGAAGCACCGCGGTATCCTCACGGATATCCTGCGGCCACCGTGTTCGAGGTGGCCATGTGGGCATTTTTGATGTTTGGCACATGGTACATGAAGAGGTGGAAGCTGAAGCATCCGGACCTGGAGACGAGGCTGGCGAATGAGTCTACCGCGCAAGAGGGCTCTTCGGTTCTGGGGTCCGACTCAGACAGGCTTGATGCAGAGGCTGGCGTTTCGGAAGATAAGGGCAAAGGCGAAGAAATGGTGGCAACACAATCCTTGACCCCCAAAACCCGAGTTCTTTTGCAAGGTCGGCAATAGAACAGCACACGGCGCATAAGCTCGCATTCTCCCACAGTCTGAGCATGGTGTATAGAGTATCAATTGAGTAATGCTTTATAAAGGTGGGTTATAACCTCGGCAAGAAATTTTAAGTCCTGACAATTGTGTGTGCTGTGTTCTTCCCATAGCACAGCGCGTCTTACTCTTCAGTGACCCTTTCTCCAGCAAGCAACGTCTCCTGGATACGCTGGGACGGAAGCCATCGTTCTGCTGGGATGAACCACCAAGAAAGAATAGCGAATATAGTCACGATTCCCATGATCACTGGTGCATAGTTGAGCGTCGATGCTTCCACGGGGAAAACGTAAGGCGAGAACAGCACAGCAACAACCCAACCATTCCAAAGAACAGCAATGGCTTGGAAGGGCTTACTCAAACGTCCCAGGCTCCATGCTGGTTTTGGAAATTTCTTCGGTGTCAAGAACAAGCGGCAAAGGCAGATGAGACCGTAAGCGGCGGCCGAAGGGACTCCAGCTGCTGATACGAGGGATGTAAAGGCCACAGACGACGGAAGAATAGTGCAGGTGATGACAGAAGCCACACCCCAAACAACCAAAACGGCGTTGCGCGGTTGGCCGTCGACAACTTTAGAGACCCAAGGTGACCATGGCAGAACGCCATCACGCGCCACCGCAAAGACCAGACGCGATGCAGCTAGGACGGCAATAGCGGTGTTCTGAGTTTCATTGTTAGCGTCATGTAGCAAGCCTTAGTCAAAACTCAATGTGAATACTCACAAACCAGAGCGCAACGATGCAAATGATGTTCATGAAGATGTGCCCTCCTTCTCCAAGGATAGCGGCGTACAACGGTACGAATGGTTGAGCACCGCCAAAAGAGAAAAGGGTGTCTGCGTCGGGCTGAAGACTGTTGTCTTAGTATCCATACTGTGGAATTTGTCTGTTTTAGATGCCGACTTACCACGCAGAACAAAAACAGTATCACGACGATGAAACCACCAATACCGCTGGTGACTGTGCTCCAGAAAATGCCCCTGGCAGCAGCAACACTGGCGTTCTTGGTCTCCTCGGCTACGTGTCCGGAGGCGTCGAAACCAATAAGAATGCCAGCCGTAGCAAGATACGAAAGACACCAGTTCCAGCCAGCCGGAGCGCCTGTTCCGTTGTATGTGGTTAGAAATGCATCGTGGGCGGACCGGAAGCCATAAATGCTCTTGCTAGTGGCGACAGGCAACCAGATCATGTTCAGAACGAAGTCAAGCAAAACAGAAGCGGTAGACAAGTAGAAAATCCACTTGAAGTAGCGTGCTGCAAGTTTGTTAGAGTTAATCAGTCTGTCATGCAACACCCATATTAGTACTTACGAGGCAAGAGATTCCAGATGGCGGCCAAAGCGAGCATCACTTCTGTAGCGATCCACTGGACGGCTCGGAACTTGACGCTTGAACTGTCTGAGGGGAAGTCAAGATTGAAGACTACGATTTCCTACAAGATTCTTAGATACGTGAAAACAAAGATCGGTTAGGAAGGTGGTTTACAGAAAGCATGTAGTTGACAGCGGATTGAGTGTTACCTATGAGAGTTAATTTAAAAAGTCTTGGGTAGGTACGATGAGAAGGAAATATTCATGACGTACTCGCACAGAATGTTGTCCAGGCAGTGGTGCTCCACCATGCAACGATGAAGCCAAAAAATCTGCCATAACGAGGCCCTCCAGCCTCAGCTGCCCATAGGTAGATGGATCCTGCGAGAGGGAGCGAAGAGCAGATCTCTGCAATTACGGCAGCAGTGATGAAAGTGAAGACACAAGTCACAAGAAAACTCGTCCTACATGGGCATTAGAAACAGTCTTATATGAAGATGCTCAATGTGAGAGCAAAAGATACCAGTATGCAAGATTGCCTCCTGCTGCTATGCCCGTAGAGAAGGTCACGCGGACACCGCCAATGAAATAGAGAGCAGCTGAAAGAAGTCAGATCCTGACTCAAAGAGCAACAGAGTCGGCGGAAATATTCCTACCAAATGTTGTCGAAAAGTTGTGAAAAGCGTTGAATGTCCTGTGCAAGACCTAGAGAAATGAGTTTGTCGGTTGCATCGCCGTACCAGCGTTACCGGCTTACCGGCTTGTAGCCTAGGTTTTCCTACACAATGCACAGTCAGCTAATTATCGTAACACTGCTTCAGTGATCTGCTTACCAATATTCGTGCATCCCGGGTGGACTCCTGCTCTTCGTCACTCCTAGAAGCTGTTGCGTCCTTCGCGTCCTTGGCGTCGCTTGTCTCTTGGCGACCTGTAGCCATCTTAGTAATATCTTGGTGCTGGTTCAAGCTGAACGAATTAGCAACGTCGCAGCAAGTGGATGTGGAAATGGAAGAGACGACGTCTTATGGAACAGTCATCGGGACAATCGGACGCCGTTGGAAATCTCTTTTAGTGGGTCGGACATGGTCGGCTTTTACAGGAGAAGAGTGAATCTCCAATGACCGACTTCTTTAGTTGCGTGATGTGGGACTGGTCGGATGACGGCATCGGTATTTAGTACGAAACGGCGTTAGCGGCACACTGTTGCCAGCAAACGAGATGACTCTAAAAGAGCTGTTAAAACCAGCGGACTAGAGAGCAGTGATATCACCAGACGAGGTGTATACAAAAATCATAGACGTGCCGCTTTTTCACTTATTGGTGGTAGCCTTGCACAAAATAATATTTATCATTCATGGAGTGTCTTTCAAGTTTGTCTATTGAACGGATGCAAAGAGATTCGAGCTTGCCTCCTCCAGATGGTGCATGTTTTTGAGTGCATTTTGAAAAAGTCTCATCAACCAATAGTACTAAAAGATAATTGCAGAATCACTCGGCGCACCCCTGACTTAAGCAATCAACGTAAGTAAGCGTCACGGAGTGAGTCACGGAGTGATCGCTCATTACGACATGGCTTAACCGAACTTTTGGGGGATACGCCTATCACGCAATCGACACTCAGAGAACGCAATCTTGTCATCTACATGTAATCAGTCAAGCGAGAAATCACCGATCTTAGGAACATGATAAAATATACCAATCTTATTTCGAACAGGTGACATAAATCAACAGAGTGGCTCGTCTCCGGCAACGATTGGGACTTGAGATTCATGTTGAAGTGGCTTGGTATTAATTGGCATGAACTGATACTGATTGTATCTCATTCAATCACCAAAACATAGACCATTTGCTCTTCTGATGGCTGTTCTGACTCTGACTTGTGTCGTTCTGCTATGCATAGTAGGGGTAGCACTTTTCAAGGTATTTTTCCTTCGAATATTGTAACATGTACGCACATCCAGACTCACATTTCAAAGGCCGTTACTCGAGCACGTGCATCTCCGTTGACTCAAATACCCAATGCTGGTTGGGGAGCAGGGTATTCCAGATTGATATGGGCCTTTCGAGAAGAATACCTCGGCAGCATCACCCTTACACTGCCAAAACTCCATGAGAAGCTAGGTACTGATTGACGTTATCTTTTTTACATACCACATTCTTAACTAATGGATAACAGGTCCCCTTGTACGCATCGGACCGAACGAGATCTCGTTCTATTCAATCGAATTATACGACCTGATTCACAAGGTCAACAGTGGATTTGTGAAAGATCCCCGGAACTATGGTGAATTCGTTCAAGATGGACACCCCGCATTATTTTCAATTACGTATGGCTAGTGATGTTTTCGCTCAGAGTAGTTAGTACTTGAGGCTGAAGCAGAACATGACAGGAACCCAGACGAGCATGCAAAAAGGCGCAGAATCCTTGGCCAACTATTTAGTCGCAGCAAAATTGGGAACCTTGAAGGACTTATGCTCCATCATGTCGACGAATTCGTCAAGGCAGTCGGCCAAAAGCAACAACCTCTCGACATTGGCACAGCTTGTCGCGCCCTTGAAGCTGACATCATCTGTAAGATTGCATAGCGCGTTTCTGACACGCATCGTCATTCATTGGCAACCTCATTGACAAGAATAGCGGAATTTTCATTCGGAGAACCCCTACATGCCATTTCTGTCTGGTCCAAAAGCTGTGAGGTTGCAATTGTTTCCAAAAATGATAAAAAAGCAACGTTTATGCCTCTAGTTAGTTTTTAACTATTAGAGTGAGCACTCGCTAATTATCTATAGCTTATGAACTTCCCGGTCTTATACGACCTTTGGCTGAGCCTTGAAGACCTCCTCTGCTATGTTGAAGGGTCAAAAATATCTTCCAGGGAAGGATTACAACAATACGATAAGGTCTACTACCATATGTTACAACCAGTTGATGAGGTACAAGCTGGCAACTAATAGTCTTGTGCATTCAGTGGACACACAACGCTTGGGTTAAGAACAAAGACCCCGACAATAAGTCACCGTTCCCGAACTTAATCAATGTTATGGTATCTGCTGGAGTACCAACACAGACCGCCCTATCCGAAGCCAAGGAAAACATTGGACCAGGAACAGACACAACATCTGCTTCACTGGCACACATTCTCTATGCTCTTTCACGGAATGCAACCTACCAGAACAAACTCTATCAAGATCTCAAAAGTCTTGGGTTCCCCACAGATATGAGTGCGTTAGAAAACGTTTCTCGGTTGAAAGCCTGTGTGAAAGAAGGTATTCGTTGGGCTGGGGCTGCGGCTGCGATGCTGCCCCGTGTCGTTCCTCAAGGCGGGGTCGAGTTATGTGGGAAGTTCATCCCCGAAGGAGTAGGTTTCCGAGTAGACTTTACAATTCTTGTGGTAAACTGATTGCCTTTTGTTTCAGACTGTCATTACCTCTTCCCCGATATGGTATCTTAGAGACAAGTATGCTTATCCGAATCCTGAGCTCTTCGACCCATATCGCTGGATCGACGAGAACGGTACAGTCACTACCAATAATGCACTGCGGGACAGATTCTACATTCCATTCTCCAAAGGATCTAATGTTTGCATTGGCAATCAGTAGGTATTTTGTGATGCTGATGAGAAACGACGAATGACTGACATGAGCTATTTCTAGCTTTTCTTATTTTGAGTTGTTTTTGAGCTTAGCTAAGATGGTAGAGAACTACGAGCTCGTTCATGTTGATAAGCATGGCGGACTAGAACAGGTGATTAGACCGAACAACTCGGACTGGCAACCAGTGCAGCTTCCTAATAGGAAGGAGTGGGTTGCAGCGGTAGTGACCGAACCACTGCTCATCAAAGCTGTCCCGAGAACGCACAGCTGACTTACCCACATATGGGGTGGTTTTGCTTGTATAGACATTAGGGGAAGATGTCAATTGGTTGTATGCCTGTCTGAAAAAGAAGCACCTCATCACATAATCCGAAACTGTTTGGTCTTGTCAATATTTTGGCCCCAGAAAGATCATCATGGCGGTGAATGCGGATGGACGGCATGTGCTACGAGATTACCTTTGTTATCGCGAGTATGGTACTGGGCATCTCTCTTTCTAGCAAGCTGTTCACATTAGCAGCCTTCATGTAATTCTGGCCAATAAATGGCAACCGTCAACCTAAACTTTGACGATTCCTCCTCCGATTAGTTGCGATCGCACGGGAAAATAGAAGAGGCAGCTTTCCATTAGACGGTGTTGGAGCCGTTGAGTTATAACCAATGATTCTTGTGAGCACTTTGCTCTCTGGGTCTAACCTGGGTTGTGCATGCTTCATCAGCCTTTTCTCCATTTGTGCGGCCAAGGATGAGGTGGCGATGTCGACTCAACCTATTGCCCAAGGTAGAATCGAGAAAGACAATGGGTCGATTAAATCTCTGCACCTGAAATTGCAAATCGAGGTCTTACTAAATAAAAAACTTGCTGTATTTCTAAAATGGTATACACTCCACTGTAATGACCCAAGCATCGGTTGTAAAATGAATTATAGAAAGTTGGAAATTGCAAAGTCACCGGTATGATCATCCAATGGGCACCCCTGAGTGAGCGGACGACTGGTTGTCTTAGACGCTCTAACCGTATGGGGAATGATGTTGTTGAGTTTGCCGGTATGACATTAGACCAAGGTGGAGAGGTAAATGACGCGACTCAAATTTGACGGACGTGTTTCATTTGTCGGCGGAGCCGCTTCGTCACGCCGCTCATGCCTAGAGCTCAATAATCTTATTTATTAAGCCCTCAAGTGGCCGCATCGGTTGCTAGCAGCCTGAAATATTATTCAGACCTCGCAACATCCTTGGACATCTCGCCACCAAGATGGCAACTGAACAGAGACCCCTTAGCGAACGTAGCGCCAAAGGGCCCCATGACAGCGACGCGACAGAGACGACTCCGTTGTTGATTGTCAACGACGTCGCCCCGACCGCCGACCCCGATGTAGCCAAGGCGACCACCCTCGACGATCCAGACCAGCAACTTGATGACCCCGAAGACAAATCATTGCCGGTCTGGCAGATCTTCCTACTGTGCTATGCCCGGCTAGTGGAGCCCATGGCTTTCTTCTCCATCTTCCCGTTCGTCAACCAAATGGCCCAGGAGAACGGCAACCTCGCGGAAGCGGACGTCGGTTTCTACAGCGGCCTCATCGAGTCGTTGTTCTCCCTTACCCAGGCCATTGTCATGATCTCCTGGGGCAAGCTGTCTGATCGTATCGGCCGCAAGCCCGTTCTCGTCTTCTCGCTATTCGGTGTCACGCTCGCCACCTCTATCTTCGGTATGGCTCAGACAATTTGGCAGATGATCCTGTTTAGGTGTCTGGCCGGCGTGTTTGGTGGCACTATCGTTACAATGCGCACCATGATTGCGGAACATAGCACCCCCAAAACTCAAGCCAGAGCTTTCAGCTGGTTTGCTTTCAGCGGCAACCTCGGCCTTTTCTTCGGTCCACTTCTGGGCGGTGTTCTTGCCGATCCCGCGCGCCAGTACCCAGGAGTCTTCAAGAGTCAATTCTTCCTTGACTATCCTTACGCATTGCCAAGCTTCGTTGTTGGCTTCATCGGCTTAACAGCGGCTCTTACCAGTCTTTTCTTCGTTGAGGAAACACTTAAGAAAGAGCCTCACGGCGAAGATGACAACGGATCGGTGGCACCCAAGAAGCCACACTCTATTAAGAAGCTCGTCAAGTCCAAAGGCGTCGGCATCGTTCTCTACGTCTATGGGCATCTCATGCTGCTCGCATTCGCATATACGGCCATAGCTCCTGTTATGTGGTACACGCCCGTCAAGCTTGGCGGCTATGGATTCCCTCCCTTGCACATGTCAATTTTGATGTCTATCAACGGCATTGCACAGGCATTGTGGCTCCTGGTTATCTTCCCGCCCTTGCAACATCGCATTGGGACTAACGGCGTCCTGCGTGTCTGTTCATACGCCTATCCCTTCTTCTACCTTATTTCTCCGCTCGGCAATCTCATCCTCAAAGCCAGCGTCGACAGCCCCAAGCTGATTACATTTTTCTGGATTTTCGTGCCCGTCGGTCTTGCCATCGGCTGTGGCGTAAGCATGTCCTTTACTGGCATACAGTTGGCGCTTAACGATGTGTCGCCCAGCCCCCAGGTTCTTGGAACGCTTAATGCTTTGGCGTTAACTGGCGCTAGCGTTCTCAGAGCCTTCGACCCGGCCTTGTTTGCGAGCCTCTTTGCTATTGGAGTGCGGACTCAGTACCTCTGGGGCTACGCAATTTGGTTTCTCATGGTTGCGCTTGCGGTTGGCTTGATCTTTGCTGTGAGGAAAATCCCCGAGATCGACAACCTGAAGAAGGTTAGGGAGCAAGAGCGGGCTGAACAAGACCAATAGACTTTCTAAAGCCTGCACTCACTATGCTCGGGCAACAAAATTTTGTACAACACTTCCCAAATTACTTGTCATCAAATATTGAATGACGTGGGCAGTGTATCAAGAACTCTAGAAGATGAGCTGCACAATAGAATCACGAATTAGATTTACAACCGTGTTATCGGAGACAGCTTCTTCCTGGATGTGGTGCTTGATATGTCACTTGTAAGCATCCAATGCCCATGCCATTGCCTTTCCCAATCTCCTAGCATCATAAAGACCCAGGCGCAAACGCTACGGTCTGCAGTTACCACCAAGAAACAATTGTATGACACAATCAACCTTCAACTTACCGACGGGACGAGATGTGAGATGTTTGAAGCCCTTTTATCTCAAAATAGAGGCATATGAATCAAGCAACAAACACTCTTCTTTTAGAACTCTCGGGCATTGCTCATTCAAAGCTTGGATCTTCACGATGAGAGGAGACGGCAAGAACAAGCTAAATGGGCCGGTGTTGGAAAGATAGATGGCCTGCTGGATTGTACAACAGCCAGTGTGCAGAACGCGAGTGCGAAGAGTTCGTACGACGACTCAGTGGGACACATCAGAAAATCCACCTTAAATGCACGGGCGGGGAATCGACCAAACAAGCCCTTCGACTGCATGCACCCTTTGCTGTTTTAACTGGGGTGTAACTACTGTAATTGTAGAAGTGCAGCAAGCAAGTGATCCATTTCATTTGCCACTTGCCCTTTTTCTGTTTTCTTTCTTTTTTTGGTCCCGCGGGAATATTGGCGCTCTAGTGAGTGATCTTCTGTAGCCGAGTTATCATGTTCTTAACTTGCCAAAGCAATGTTGCAAGCCCTTATGACTACGGCCGTACCCGCAGAATAAGCAAAATACTCTGTATTTGTCAAATGGAGTATGCTCCGCAGAAATTGATTGAAGGGATCTCTGTGAAGATGACATACAGGGTATGGACTGATTAATTAAAGGAACTCTGCACAGCATGCTTCACAGACCCTAGCAGGTCAGCCTGGTCCGCATCTTGCCGCGAACCCCCTGCTTCAAGAACCATGATGCTGCTGTTCAACCTGCTTGTTGCCCTCAAAAACAAGAAGAAAAATATACACCGCTTAGTTTGTGAAACTGCCTCCATTCTGTGATACTCAAACGTTGCAGGGACTGAGGTTTGGGAACGAAATTTTTTTTTGGCATAATACGGTTGACTAAAGTTACACATCCATAAATAAATAAAGGAAAAGTATTTCGGTAGTCTTTAAGCGTCCATTGTTTTACATTCCTGACTTTCTCTTGCTGTTGAACTCGGGAATCATAGACTCTGGTTCCACTGGCTCCGTAGTTATTTCAACCTCACGATGCTGCCAGATCCTGTTGTCCGAGTGAGGGTATTCCGACGGACTATTCTGCTTTGTAAGTTTTTTTCCGTGATAACGCTCCCTCGCCGTCACAATCTGGTCGTCTTCTGAGAAATTGGCTCTTGCGGGACTCCTGATCGTTACGCTGACGGTGTTCTGAGGCGCGAGTTCCACGTCGTTTGAGCTTCGTGAGCTGCGGTCATCGTCACCTCCGCCCATTGTCCTGAGTCCGATACCATACTTGGCCTCTTCGCGGTAGTTGGATTTGTTGGTAGATTCGGAGAGCTTTGACCAGTCTTTGGAGCCGTCTCTGGCGTGCGAGGCGTTTCCGGACCGCTGACCGCCGCCGATGGTCACACCTGCTGACCTATTCGCCGATTTTTTATTCGAAGATGTGCCGTAAGCGTATCTTTCCAAGCCACTTCGTTGAGCTGATTCGAGCAGTCCTTTCCAAAGGACTCGAACGATGGGACCCTATACTTCCATATTAGTTCTGTTCTCGTGACAGCGATGTTTTGACATTGACTAACCAGAGTCGGTAAACAAGCTGACACTATGCCACTGCTTATCTCAATGATGTTCCATGCGAGACCCTGCGCCAGTGAATCTTGAGGTGTGTTAGTGCAACTCTCTAATAGTAGGTTCTGTAGTGGTCACTTACACGGTACGTCATTTTTCGTATACAGCAGGAAAATCCGGAAGCGATAGACACTGCAAAAAACGACATAACTTCCAAGCAAAAAGGTGAAAAGAACCAAGATACGCTGAGCGCGGTTCATCTGAAGTTTCAAGACATGGGGAATTGGTAGATAAAGAATGGCGATATCAACGATGATGCTCGGTACAGCAATGCACAACTGTGTCAAGAACAGATTGATGCAGGTACCCGGTTTCCAGGGCTCCCATAACGTGTTTAACGGGAGACATTGTATCGAGGCAGCGATGACACAGGCGAGCGTCCAAAGAGATGTTAAGCTCCCGCAGATCCAGGCTCCTTTCCGAACCTCACGCATCGGGAAGATGCGAAGGTAGAGAAGCAGCAGCGCAACCTTGTACATATTGACGCCGTTGACATACAATATCTCAGCACCGACCATGGTCTAGAGATAAGAAGTCAGCTGGTGTCGCCATATGACAGTGACCAACTATGGTCAAGGAAGGTTAAAGCATACCCTGTCGAGGAATTGCAACTGTTCAAGCGTAAGGCGGCCCGAATGCAACCCGATGCCGCCATCAACCACTACATCCAATATTAACAATGCTCGGTACAATCATGGCGGATACACTGACATATCAGGTTCATAATCATGTTTCCGAGTAAAAGAAACAACGCAGCCAACATCGTATAGTCATCGATCAGGTATTTCGCACCCTGGAGATGGCGTGCGGTAAATCGCAAACCAACAATAAAAGCGGCAAAGATGGTGAAGGCGATTGTAATGGCTCGAACATATGATCGTAGATCCTCAGACAGATTCTGGTCCTCGGCGAACCCGGCCAGCTTCTTCAGGTAATCCCGCTTGGCTTCCTCGATTGTCGGGTCGTCGTACGGGTAGTTTACCATGGTGGCTGCCATGGCTGGTGGCTAGCTGGCCACGCAGGCTCCTTCTCGAACAAGGAAGTCGGGAGAGCAGGTCGTTAATTTTTCTGGAGGGGTTTCCAAGCAGCGGACATAAGGGACTTGAGGTGAGAGTTCCACCCGGGGACAGAGCATCATTTTATTCTGAACAACTTTGGGCAATGTTGGGCACGTTACTTGCCGGAGTTCCTTGCACAATTATCTCCAGAAAAACACGTGCATCGACCCATTGTTAAGCATGCAGTTAATCAGATCTCAAAACCGTGCGTTGTGACGGGACCACAGTTCCATCGTTTAAGACTGTCCATCGCTTTTGTCCTTCGACATGTCTTGTTTGATCAACCCACTCAACCCAGTTGTAGTGTAACTAGGACCCCGGCTGGGGATACTACATACATACATAGTAGTAGTACCATATTAGTTAGACGTGCTCGGTAGGAACGATGTGTGGATCTGTCTCCGTGGCCTGAAGGAAAGCAGAGAATAGGGGAATAAATCCGGTCAGATCCCGAGGAAGCCACCAGCTTTGTCAATCTTTGTCAGTTTCGAGCATGATACCCTTGAGGGTGTATCAGACGTTTGTGGATTCCGGACAGGGTGAAGTCGTAAGTGAGCTGGGAGTACTTTTGCTTTTAGTCTTAGCCCCTAATGCTGTCGGCCCAAGCCCCGCAGTTGCCGGCCGGCGATTATCTCAAAGGGACTAAGAAGAGAGAAAACTATCCCGGTGCACGGTTCCCTCTGGCTGTGTCGTCTTGAGAACCGTTGGAGCTAGTTGACCACTAGCTGGGGAGCAACCTCCACTCACCTCTTCCAGAATCGCCCCTGACTGCCAACTGCTGAGACACGCCTGCCGTCTTCCTTTTATAGCCAGGGATATCCTTGTTGACATGGGGAATACACAGATCGTCGCTGAGTGCACGGCAATTGTGGCGTCTCTTCTGTGCAGCATGCCGGGAGCGAGTTACTGAAGATGCGGAAGGCGGAGGGGGGCCATGTCGAGTCAGCAACCCTGCAATCTGATGTGGAGCAGAGGTAGTGGACCAACAGTCCTCTCTATGCGTCATTATCGTCAAATGTTCGGGGCCATCAATACATTAAGGATTCGCGTTCCTTCGGGCATGGGGGCAGGTCAAATCTATGGGAAGGTACATTTCGGACCCTAGGTGACTGCCGAAGTGTCATGGGAACATCGATGCAAGCGGCTTCGGAGACTTAAGCAAGCTACTTAGCGAGATGTTTAACCTCTGGTATTGGACAAACAGAGTATGGTGTAGAACCACGACACAGCAAAAGAAGCACACAATATGTAATGGATCGCCTTAAAACTGCAAGGTACCATTCTACACAGTTAGACTCTACACTTCAGCTCCACTAGATCGAGTCGCGTAGTTGCTTGCGCCATGATGTGCTTCTTCGTGACCCCAGCCTCAAATGGCCCCTTTTTCGTAACTGGGGTCCCGCGCCAGTCCACCGCCAATGTTGGGTCGCTTGTGGATATCTTCGGGGGACCGCGGATCAAGCACTAACGGATAGAGGCCTCGTGGCAATGTCCGACATTGGTTCCGTGCCTGGCATCTATCCCGCTGTCATATACGTATCCTTCCTGATGCGGAGGCTGTCATTTCGGAGATGTTGCTCGCTGAGGACGCACGTGTATGCTTCGGTATCTGTAGACAGTAGTACTTTAGAGCGGACACTTGCCTCTCATGTTGCTATCACAGCACACGCCAGCCTTTCTTTTTCCGAGTCCCGTGCCAAGTCTGCAGCAAACTCAGCTCTACTCTTCCTTCTTTTGTCAATCTCTGACACAGCCCAAGCTCGCAACCTTTGTGGTTCTCCAGTCTTGACGTCACATCTCAAAATGAAGCCCTCCGTTCTCATTGTCCCCGGCGCTTGGCAGCTGCCCACGGCCTTCCAGCCTTTCGCAAACGAGCTGGCCAGTGCCGACTTCAGCACGTCTATCGTCTCGCTACCCACCGTCGGAGGCACCACTACCCCACTGGCCACTCTGTCTGACGATGTTAACGCCGTGCGCACCGAGCTCGACAAGCTCGTTGCCAACGGCAAGGAGGTCGTCATCTATTCCCACTCTTACGGCGGTGTTGTTGCTAGCAACGCTGTCGAGGGCTACGACGTCGCTACCCGCTCGGCTGCTGGCGCCTCCGGCGGTGTTGTGAGCATTGTTTATGCCAGTGCCTTCATGCTCCCCAAGGGCTCCAGCTTGCTTGACCTTCTTGGCGGTCAACCTCTTCCATGGATGATTGTTGAGGTACGTAACCCCTTGCTCCGGTAAATTGTAAAGTGAGATACAGACAACGCTGACAATTTTACAGAGTGACCGTGTCGTCGGGAACGCGACTATGCTTCCTGAGGTTGGCTTCAATGACCTACCGGCCGCGGAGCAAGAGAAATGGGCGACGGAGATGACCTGGACCTCTCTCAGCGCCTTCATCACGCCTTCCAGCTACGAGCCGTGGAATAACGGCATCGACTGCGCTTACCTATATGCTACTCTGGACAACGCTCTGCCCCTCAGCTACCAGCAAGGCATGTCTGCCGTCCTACCCGAGGGGTCAAAGACCGAGAGTGAGCCCAGCGGTCACTGTGCTCACCTTAGCCGGCCAGCAAACGTAACCTCTATTTTGAGCAGGTGGTACTCCGGCAACTAAGTGCCGGGTGACAGGCAAGGAGGAAGGCAATTGCTAGCGTTGTAATAGACAGGCGAATGAGCAGATATAAATGAGTTAAATAATACAATCAATAATCACGATCAATCGATGCGACGCTATCAGTTGAGTGGTGGGTATTCTGAAATTCCTACTTAAATGGGATACGCATTGTAGCATTTGCAACGGCAGGGCGATGTCCAAGTAAGCTCGGGAATATTAAAATTTGATCGGCTAGACAATGGAGTTGCCGTCTTCTTCAGCATCTGGAAAAGGGGGCCTGGTCTTGACAGCCCCAACGCCAATCGAGACATCAAGGTAAGGCCTGCTTTTTCGATCGCACGTTCACGAATTGTGGTACTGATATGAGTAACCTTATGTTAAAACAACATATAAATGGCCTATAATGGCCGTTCTTAGGGGGGAATAGTTGGATCTTGTTGTATGGCTCAGATTAAAAACCAGCAGGCCAGATCCATGTCATTTTGTTTCCAAGAGCAGATTTTCTTGTTGACAGCACTGAAACGCGACAGGGACATCCTTGCCTTAGAAACACTCGTATTACTCAGACTAGGAAAACAGCGAATAGGACCCCATACCGATATAGCAGATGGCACAGACAGCAAAAATTGCCAGTCAGCCCCGTGTACTGTCCTGATTTCCTGAGAGATGATTTGTCACCGCTTCCAAGACCCCTTTTTTTACATGGACGCGCTCTAACCTCATTGGAACTCCAACGGCAAAATCGGTACACGTCCATTAAGCATTAGCAAAAGAGTAGAAGAGTAAAAGAGCAAGAGAGTAAAAAAGAGAATAGAAAGGGAAAAGTAGAGATGAGCCTTTTGTATTTTGATTCAGCCGAGCATTCTCCGAAGCCTTGTTTACCAAGGCATTTGAAGCTCGTTATTACCAATCAAGTATCCGGTGTGTGCTGATCGATGATCAGTGTAGTCCTCTACTACTATCACGTTGGCAGCACCGGGCCCGAATGCAGGAACGGCGCCGATTGCAGTCTCCTCGGCAGAATAACCAGCAAACATCTGCTCTGTAGTCAGGTTTCTCATGCTGTCCGTGATGCTATCTGTGCTTCAAATCCTGCTCTTGCACTCGACTGCTTCAGTAATTCTAAATCACCTCCCAGCTGCGGTTGAGAAGTTGAGCGCGGAAAATCGTGGATGGTTGCGTTCTGGAGGATGAAGCCATTAGCAATCGGATCCGAGGCAAACGCAAATGAATGACAGTCTGCCATACCATCCCCAGTGGACTCGCCGAACACAGTGATACAGCTGACATCTCCACCGAAACTCTCGGCGTTCCTTCGGATCCACTCCATGGCCACTCTCATGTCGAGTAAGCCTAGATGGAATGCTGAGGCGGGATTGCCAGGGAACCCGAAGATACCGAGACGGTAACTGCAAAGAGGTTTATAGACTTGGATGCTTACTTGACAGGCATTAACACGACCTTTGTTGTATCGTGCAGCAATGAGTTCATCTTCATATTGAGGTTCCCCTAGAAGCTAGAGCTTCCTGACATGCCAAATCAGTCAGCCATACACTTTTTGTGCGCACATTGGTGCTTACCAAAAGAAAAGACGCCACCATGGAACCAGACCATGATATCTTTCCTGCGCTCTCTGATTTGGGGCTTGGCCCAAAGATTGATAGATAGACAATCCTCGCTTTGAGGGTAATCGGCAGTAACAGCTTGCATGCAACCAACCGCCTGAGTGGCCACGCATCAGATTAACACCTTAAAGTATCTTGCCAGCTCTTATGGCGAAGCAGACACATTCTTTCACCCTAGTCTTAGCAGACAGGGTAGCAGTTGCTGAAAAGTTTACTCCTGTCTGACTTTGAAATACGAAAGATGACACCTATGCTTCACACCCGTTAGTGCTGTCAGCTTTCGAGCGAAGAAATGACACATGTCGAGCCCAAAGCCTCCCTGGCTGAAAAGCTTCCGGATGAATACAGGTCAGCGTAGTTGGTGTGAAACATGGTTAGTGATGGACTGACAGCTGTAGACGAGCTCTCGTCGAGCCTTCAATAACCACATTAAGTAGCTCGAGTGATTAAGTACTTGAATTAAGACCGGTTTTCGGTTATCCGAGATCACCTGCTTGTTCCTGAGATGCTACCTGAGCGCATTGGGCGAAAATTCATGCTAAAATTACTATTGACCAACCTATCCCTGATTCACGGCGGACACTGAAAACGCTTATACTTACACCCAAGGCTTCACGCGTTGATTAACGGATGTCTTCCTCTTGTACCAATTGTGGCCAAACAGCAGGATATTAATTAGTTCACCCTTGCAACGGTCATCCGGATACATGATTACCTATGGTCCTCTCATGGCCATTGCCTCTCCCTGCACCATTACTCATTACAAGATGATCCTGCGATGTATACGCCCCTGCTTGCCTGCTTCTGTCGAACTGATACTATGGGAAGAATCGTCACCTATGCTCCCTATATCTGGTCGACGGCACTGATCTTTGTTTTGGAGAGGACCGGTTTCCGCTGCCTCCTTAGCCTTCTTAGCCTGGCGGGATTCGCGATACCTCTTCTTCACGTCGCCTTTCATTTTCTCAACGCTCTTTTCGAGCTTTTTCAATATGCTGCCGCTGGTCGTCAGATCCTGCTTACATTCTTTGAACCATAAAAACAGTTCGTAGATCCCAAATTTGACAATGAACCAGGTTTCGATGTACTTGTAACTGGACCAGAGCACAGTACGTGGGTAGGCCCAGAAGGCGAAGAGGAATGAGACAAGGATGACGCTAGCGGAGATCGGGACTGGGGGAATGGCTATTAGCAGTCTGACATGAAAGGTAGTAGTTGGTTACTTACACATGTAGTTCGCTTGGTCACGGAAAGACATGTTGGTGTCACCAATGTCACTATTGTTCATGCCAAAGACGCTAGACATGAACGATAAAGGGAGCTGTACCGGTTAGACTTTGAAACAACAAAGTCATGGTAATTGAGAGCCAGAAGACACGCATGGTTGGGAAAGGGAGATATCTTGTGAGAGGGTGGGCTTACGAAGATAATAGTGACGATTGTAAAGATCATGACGGATCTCCCCTGACGAACACTTTCGTCCGCTTGTCGTACGGACTGCCACGCCTGTAAGATACTAGCTTGCTGTTGTTTGAGATCCAAAAGGTCTTTAATCTACAACGAATCGAGTTAGTCTATATTATATCTGCTGCCAGGTCTCGGGCACCCTTACCCCTTGTGACGTACTCTCCGCACTCTTGCGAAGTCCCTCAAGCTCGGTAATTCTATCTCCGACGTCTGAGATCAAGTCGTAAGCCTGTTTACGGAACCATGTGAATTGATCCTTTTCCCTCTCTAACTTCTGTTAGTCCTCTTTGCCTACGGACTTCCTGTTGCTGACTTTACCTGGAGAATACTCGCCTCCCTTTGGCGTTGACTTCGAACGTACGTAATCTCGCTCCCCGTCAGGGCTCAACGTTTCGTCTCGCCAGGCACCGCTTGGGTCGAAGATGTTCTCGACATTCTTCACAAACCTTTTGATCACTTCCTTCTGTTTGTTGTTGACATGAATCATAATATCCAGCTCATCGATGATGTCTTTGATCTCTCGCTGAAGTTTACCCTCCGGATGGATGTTAAGGAGCGGGGCGTGGAGATGTGCGGTGTCCTCGTACTTGGATTTGGAGTTGTAGATCTTCGAAGCCCTCTCTGTCCAGTGCCATAGGTGCTGGAATGACATCGTCTGCTTGTTTTGCTGCCATGAAAGTCAGTATATCATATATCCTCTTTTAGGATTTGCTAAGGGCAACCTACCAAACTTCCGATTGACTCTGCGAAAATGTCCATGACCTGAGGATATCGATCCTTCAAAGCGTTAATTAGTCGGTAGGCGTTTCTCTAGCCAGATCCTTAGGCTTACCCGCATCTTAGTTCGATCAAAAAACGTATTCGAACATTCATCCAGAATGATCAGAGCCACATCAAAGACTGATCGAATCTGATTCTTGCGCGCGTTCTTGATCCTGGTTCGAATTGTCTTGTGCACCCCGGACGGGTCCGACTTGTTCGTCCCATACCGTTTCGGGAAGCTGGTGATAATGGTCTGCCTGTCCAGGATCCACATCCACAACTGATCAACCATGACGATCTGTGATACCTTCTGAATTTCGCCCTTGCAATGGTCGCATCCGGTCTTGTCTGTCTTGTCCCAATGGCCATCCCATTGGTAGCAGCCTATACTACTTTCCGAGTCGCTTCTGTTTCCATCCTCAATAGACTTCAACTTTTGACGGTCGAGGAGCCGACCTAGGGGTTTTCTAGATGCTTTTTGCTCTTCTTTTCTTTGCATTCTTTGCCTTGACTATTGCGTAATTTATGCATATTTCTATCGTCCATCATGGTACCGCGGTAGACTACCTGGTCTCTGTCCCGGGTTTTGGTCGTCTTCAGCGTCCAGTAGTAGGACTGATCGAGCGTCCGTCGAGGGTGCAGTGGCGGATCATGGTGAAGGTACTCCTCTACAAGCTGCTGGTCTCGATGCATCGAAATTGCTTCGTAGAGCCTTGCTGCGTCAAGGAGAAACTGACCCAGTTCGTTCTTCGATTTGACCCGCCCGTGTTTATCGAAGTGTAGCTTTGCGACGGGCCAGCCCTTCCGACCGTCCTTGTCATACTCGTATTCGATACGGTCTCCTCGAATGAGAGCATTCGCGGACTCGGGAAAGTCGCTAGGATGAGATGCGTTCGGTATTCCACTTGAAATTCTTCTCAAAGCGTCTTGAATGATCTTGTCGTGACTCGAGTCCAACTTTTTAGGGTGCTGGATGGGGGGCAGGCTGGATTTGAGTAGCGCCGGTCTCCCATCAAACTCATAAGTACGTTTGTCAACTCTTTTTAGCTTGTCTTCGGTTTGGTTTCTCTCGCGTTTTTCGCGGCTTCTTTCAGTCGCATTCTGAATCATCTTGGCCATCTTCTCGCGCTTGCGGTCCTCTTCCCAATGAAGGAAGGGCATCTGTATTTGATGCAATATGCCCGTCATCAGTCCATTGTCTCCTTGGATTTACGTCTAGCTTAAAGTATGGCCTGGCTTGACTTACAAAGAGAACAATATTATCTGGGTCATCTTCTGACTCCCAGATCTCTAAGTTGTGGGTTTAGTCTATGTTTAGAAAACAATGATGCTGGTCGAGTGATGCAAGCAAATCTTCGATCGCGCAAGAATCGTCGAAACTGCAATGCTTTCGAACTCGGACCACCAGAGTGTACAAAGGGATCTGATAGTGCGAATTCAAACCATATATTACTAGGAAAAAAACTGGCTTACTTGAAGAGATTCTCTCGCAAATTGCTCGCATGTGGCGAGCGTGCACTAGGGTCCGTTGACCGCCATGTTGTTGCCCCCTCCAGTATTCAGGTCGTAATACCATGTGACTATGAGTCTTCAATTGAGAACTTTGGTATATCTCTTCGAGGTTGGGGGACTCCTCGTCGAAATATCGCGCGATGGCGTGCTGTTGAGGAGTTAGAGACCACGTTCACAAAGTCAGGTGAGGACGTGACAAGTTCGCTTACTTCTATCCACTAAACGAACTTGCATTAGCAAAACTTCTAATATTTTATGTGAGACCACTTACCTCCATGTTGTTGTATGGGATGTGAAAGTAGCGCACCCTCTGTTCGTCTGTGTGCCGTTCCCGATGGAGAATCACATCTTTCCGCGGCTTCTGTGGCTTTTTATCCAACAGATTTTGAAGATTTATCCTCTGATCAGGGAAGCGGCCTTTGAAACGATAGTCCGAAGCGTCCTCGTTCACCGGTTCTAGGTACTTTTCCGATCCTTGAGATGGACCTAAGAAGGGTTGGGAAGTCGAGTTCTGCTGTGGCAGTTCTGGTTCCTGGGGCTTCAAGACCTTCCATTGGATGACGTATCCGTTGACATCTCGCTCTAGCTGGTATGAAGTGTTCTTGTCTTCTCCAAACGCATACTCCACGTCTGTGTGGTCTTTCTTGATGATGTTTTGGATCTCCTCCCGCTCTATGTTTGTGGCATTGCTGTCGTCGTTTATTTGCTCTAAACCTTCGTTTTCGTTTCTAGTACTTTGGAGGCCGGTGCTTAAGTTCCTGCTCTGTTTCCACTTACGGACAGATTTGATCCCATCCTTGTATGTGTCTGAATTTTTCCACTCTTTGTGGCTGCGAGAAACTGAGCTAACCAAGTCGCAACTGCCAGTCTCGTCTTGCGTCCTGCAAAAAGAACATTTGACCCCAGCGAGCGCCTTGCGCAGGACGCCTGTCCTTTTGTACTGAGACTCGATCTTGATAGCAAGACCTTTGATCTTTTCGTCAACTCTTTTTCTCGCCATCTCTTCCCGTTGAGCGTCGGGCATTTCTCGCTTTTGATGCTTTAGTTTGTTGATTTCGACATCGTATTCATGATCCCACAAGAGTTTGTTCTTGTTTTTGTCGAGAAAACCGGACCGTTCAGATATTTCGATGCATCCAAAATAGTGTTCTGTCAAATCTCTGATGGCCCACACATTTTCTTCAGTTGGTCCATGTGGCTCTGCAGACAGACAAGTTGGAGAAGTGCCGCGATCCCCCATGTTGCTGGCTTTTGGTGAGAGAGAAGCGTGAAGAGAAGAATAAGAGGAGCAGCCAATTCCTAAAGGTTTTATATCAACAATCTCCCATCGGCACAGAAACTCCTTGCGTCAAAAAGAATCAACGGCGGTGGGGGCCAGAACAAGGCTCGGGGGCACTTCGCAGTTTCTTTCTTATCCTTGACCAGATTGGTCAATGGGTGGTCAGACAGACAGCATGAAGGCTGGTCAATTGCTGCACATGCTAGTCATAACCGCTGGTGGCTCTTCAGCTCCGTTACGCTGCTACCTTACGATCTTTCACAAGCACGGGGAAGACGCCCATCGGGTCAATTGCCCAGGGAGCGAGAATGGCCAGATTTAGCAATCCTGCATCATGGTTGGAACGAAGGGCGGCCCAAAAGGTACACAAGTATTTGCCTTACGAGTACTGTACCCGAGCCTTCAGCCTCACCACACTAGAATCTCCAGTGCAATCTGACTCAAAACATAGCTTCTCTTTTCTTCACAAGCTGGATGGATGCTTCTACCGAAGAAAAGAGGACTACAGGTATTGCTGAGGTAGGTGGACTTCAACTGCATCCATATCCGATAACAGTTGCAGGACCTAAACCGAAAAGGCTCCAAGGCCTGCACAATATTGCTCTCGAGAGGCAACAGCCTTCCGAAGGATCCATAGTACTATGGCTGCGCCTGAACGAGGTCAGCTTGCGGCCGGCGGCAGCCAAAGACGGAACAACCTCCGCCAGTAATCGACCAAATTGGACGAGCTAAAGATTGCCCCTTGGCCCCCAACCTCTCCGCTGACACTATCCAGTCAATGGCCTCCGAACCGTACAGCCTGATGTTGACTGCATTTCAGTCTTCAATACCCGACTGTTTTCTCAGAACAAGCACGCAGAACGTCATCTCACCCCAGCGACGACCTTTGATACGGAACAGGCTGTCAGACACAAGCATTCGATCTTCTGTCGCATTGAATCGCTCTCGGATACCGAGCCAGGTTGTGTGATGCTTGTTATTGATCAAATTCCACAGCAGCGTCAACATCCGGAGATGGATACAATTCATAATGGCCGGTTGGCCCAATGGCAAGGCGTCTGACTACGACTCACAGTGAAATCAGGAGATTCTGGGTTCGACCCCCAGGCTGGTCAAATTTTTTGCATTTTCCGCCGGGTTGTCATTCTTATCCACTCTTCATTACTTTTTAGCCTTGTTGGTGGGCGTGTGGGTGCGGACCCGATGAGGCACATCGTCCGGAGTGCCAGGGCTGATTCATCCTGGCCCGGCTAGGAATAGCGGGTCCCTGCCCGCGCGTGTCTTCCGGCGGCGACGTGAGCAGGTTGTTGATGCACATAGTAAGACGTTGACAAATATACAGGTCCACTTAGCTTCTGGTAGTTGCCTTTTGCGATATTTAGGAAATGATAACACGCACCCGAGGTCTTCTCGGCATTTGAAGTCGGCTTAAAGTTAAAGTAATAAGCATTCTCCCTGTGCGTGTAACTCTCAATATCCGTCTGTAGCTTTGTGATAGGAAACTCAAAGTCAGACGTCATTAGTTGACCACATTATGCCTTCAAGGTAGGTGGTTCAGTCATTGGGATGAACGTTGTGGAAACTTTCTAGATTTGAAACCTAAAAGACTACTCTAACGAGAACGAGGCCATATGGGGTTGTCTTCCCTGATGACAAGTGCTCCTTCGGTCTCCGAAGCTATCCTTTGCCCTCTGTCGTCTTCTTCGTCTCAATCCATGCCATGCGGCATGAAAACGGCTGGGTCTAGTCCCCGGAGCTAGGTTTCGCAGGGAGGGGAATGAAGACTCCTAGGTATGGAGCTGACAGTTACTTCTGATTAGGACCTCAATCGCAGACAAGGGGCTTGTATATAGGATTTGACAGTCATCAAAACGGAGTCGAAATGTCACAACTCGTCCCGACAGGCCCAAACGACTTCATAACCCAGCATATCTTCGCCTGGTTCCTCACGGCAGGTCTCTCTGTCTGCGCTGTCCTCTACAACGGACACTCTGCCTCCCAATTCCGCAAAACCAGCTTCTCGTACCTTCCGAGCTTGGAGTTTCTCTGGTGCCAGACATCATGACCCTAAGCGACTTTGATTCTTTCCTCATTTCTGATCCGTTGTTCGACATCGTGCTTCACACCGCCTCCCCTCCACTTTCGGAAGGGCTACTGTGACACTGAATTTCTGGGCCCTGCCCTCATAGGCTTGATGGAGATACTATACGGCATCAAACGGGTAGCACTTCCCACAAAAAGCATTGTCGTTGGCGGCGAAGATGCTTGGTTTGGAGTACAGCAAGCTGGAAGATGCTATAGTTAATACATCAACGCATAGTATTCATTTGGAGAAGCTTGCCGAGAAGGCCGAATGACGACTGTAACCGTGGAACTGGCCTAGTTTCATGAGTCGACGGAGAAACGAAGATACGGCGTTGTCATATATTGGGATTGCGTCTTTGTCTGACGACATAGAACACAACCTCAATCCTTTGAAAACTGAAGACTTTGGGTGTAACAATACGACAACAAGCCCTGCTTGCCCATTTCACCTCCATGGCCGCTGTCCTTCATCCCTGCAAAGTAGCCACCGGGGTTTGGCAGCTCCGGCACGTTGATCGCAACCGTGCCTGCCTCGAGCTTTCTGGCTATACTCTCGGCTCGGCCTACGTCTCTGCAATAAACCGACGCCCCGAGGCCGGCGTTTCTGAGGTTGGCGCGCCGGATCACGTCCTCTTCGTCCGTCCAAGTGACGATCGGTACGATGGGGCCTGGATTTACGGTCAGTTTACTCGTCTCAACAAATACATTCCATCTGCCGTGTCAAACATGGGTTGGACGAACCAAACTGTTCCTCTTGCACAAGAATCGAGTCCTCTGGCGGCTTCGTAACGATGGTCGGCGGTACCCAAAAGCCCTTGGAGTCCAGGGGAGCTCGGCCGCAATGATGTTGAAACCATTCTTTTTGTAGTGCTCGGCAATGTCCCTGACGGTGTCATACTGCGTCTTATTCGAGACCGGGCCGAACAGGCTGGGCGAGTCGGCGTCGTTGTTGATTGCGAAGGACTTCTTCACCTCACTGGAGAACTTATCGAGGAAACCGTCATATATCGATTCATGAACGTAGATACGCTTTGTCGCCACACACATCTGGCCAGCGTTGAAGAAGCATCCTGTCGCAACCTGCCCCGCCACCTTGCCAATGTCAACATTGTCGGTTATGATGGCTGCGTCATTGCCAGCCAACTCCAGAGTCAAGCGTTTCAGTGTCTTTGCACAGTTGGCCATTACGCTTTTGCCGGTGGCAATGGTTCCCGTGAAGCTGATCTTTGCGATGCCTGGGTGAAGAGTCATGGCAACACCGAGGTCGGTGCCGCCGTTGACTACCTGGATGACACCGGGAGGAAGAACGTCGATGAGGAGTTCGACAGACTTCATGACGGAGTACGGCGTAAAAGGGGAGGGCTTAACAATGACGCAGTTGCCTGTAACTAGTGAGGATACCACTTTGATGTTTGACAAGATTAGGGGAAAGTTCCATGGGCAGATTGCGCCGACGACGCCCAGAGGGTGATGGGTGGCGACGATCTTAAGCTTGCCATCCTCGAAAGTGACCTCGTCTTCGAGATGGACCTTGGCTGTGGAGCATGAGTATGCTAAGAGCTCTCGGGGGATGTAAGGCAGGCGTACTGTAGTACATGGTCTGGCCACAGGTATTCCCGATTTCTATCTCGGCCATGAGCCTCTGAAGACAAGTCAGCACGATGTTTATCCCTAGTCAAACAGGACGCCCGAATTACCGATTTCCCAGTTTCCTTCATGACGATTTCCATCAGCTCCTCCTTGTGCGCGGTATAGACATCGACAATCTTGCGCAGGAAGTCGGCCCGCTCCTCTGTCGTGGTCTTGGACCACGCCTTGAGAGCTTTCTGGGCTGCAGTGATTGCATCCTCGAGATCTCGGACAGTAGCGATAGGAGCATCCCAGAGAGCCTCCTCGGTACGGGGATTGGTGCACTGATGGTGGCTGTCGCCGCCGCGTCGCTGGCCGTCAATGACGTTGAAAAATTTCATGTTTGACTGAGTGTAACGAGCATAGCCCACGAGATTGAGGAATAAAATAAAAAGTAGCAAAGACCTCCAAGGGCTCATTAGACACGTGCGGAGGGATGGCTTCTGACAAAGGCAAGCTCAGTTACACCCGTTGCGTCGCTCGCACGTCGGATCTCAAAGACATCACCGATAGACATGATTTCGACATGGACGAGTCCGGCGTCTCTGCCGAAATGCTAGGTTAAAATGAGGGGTTCTACCCAGTCGGCGATGTCAAGGCGTGTGAGGCGTTCCGGAACTGGTGCCGGCAAAATGGGTTGCATTGGATTAGGTTTGGCGGCAGTTGAGGTAGACAAAGATGATTCGGTGGGGGTCAGCAACAAGCAGCCATACCCTTCTTCTGCCCGGCGTCCCGGCAGCCTGGCAGCCTCAAGACGAGTAACGCAAGAGAAGCGTCGAGGGTTGGTAGCCGGGTCATCGCTGGGACGACCAATGGCTGACGGCTGATGACCAGTGCAGAGCTTCCACTGCGGTAGAAGTTCTCCGGAGCGCTACCGGGACAGTTTTCTCGGTGTCTTCCTGCATAAAGGTAAGTCTCGGTGAGCGCAAGATGCTGTCAACACCCCATCACATATGCAGCTCGCCGTCCAAGAATCCCCGGCTCAACAGTGATGTGGGCATTCTAGATAGCGAATCGCTGCGGAGCAAGTGCAGGGCCACTCGGCGCGGCTCACGGCTTCACTTGAAGAATCCGACAGTGTACATGTATAATGTAAGATGCATGGTGCCGGACTATCCGCAAGGAGATCGTCAAAAGACTGATGGACTCTGATGACTGGCCAGGAATGATGCAGAGTGGAAGGTGCCGACCATATGGAAACGGAGCCGGCCGATAGAGGGGCTGCTGTGCGGCAGGAGGCGCTGTGGGACAGCACAGGGCACCGGGTGCCCCTGGCAGATCGCTCTGCTGTGCTGCCTGGGCTGATGTAGTTGGTACCCTGGTGGCGGGAGAGCGCTAGAGAGAGGGGGAGGGGCCGATAGCGATAATGCACCCCACCAAAATCGCAGATGCAGATTGGACAAGGCCCGCTGATAAGCTCAAACCGGAGCCACTTGATTCGCGGGATCACAGAGACGTCCCGTCGCAAACCGCATTCTCGGTTGGGGCAGAGCAGCAGAGAGCAGAGAGCAGAGACACAGAGAATGGGCATACCTATGTTTTGTCTGACGGGAGACTCGCACACACACACACACATGCGTCCGCTAGAAACTGCAACAGCGGGCGAATAGGGACTTCTGGAACGTGGATGTAGCGCAGCATAGCACAGCGGCCCACCACATGATAAGGGGTCCTCACTGGCAACTTGTAGCTACTACCCCTACCTCGCCGGCATCTTCACCTCCAAAACCGTACCTTGCCTTAAGCAGTCTCGTCTTTCGCCTGTGTGTTTCTTTCCAACCATAAAGCTGCGGGGTTCTCTCAACTTTCCATCCCAGACACACCTGCTTTACTTTTTCCTCTCTCCTTTTTCCTCGTCTTGCGACTTGTAGAGCTTCAAGTTGCTTCGCACTTTTGTTTGTCTCTAGTCGCAGCGTAAAGGAGCTCAAGGCAACATGGCGCCCATCGCCGTCTCCCCCGAGCGGGACGTTGGGCCCTTGAACACGCTGACCACCGACTTTGACGACACCATCTGCTTCTATCTCAACGGAACTCGTGTTGTGCTCGACGAGGTGGACCCTGAAGTTACTCTGCTGGAGTACCTGCGTGGCATTGGTCTCACGGGGACCAAACTGTACGTCCACCACCTTATCGCTGTGAGCGAGCCTCCGCGTCGCATGCACTAACACCGCCCAGCGGATGTGGCGAAGGCGGTTGCGGCGCCTGCACCGTGGTCATCTCCCAGTTCAACCCGACGACGAAGCAAATCTACCACGCGAGTGTCAACGCCTGCCTGGCCCCGCTGGCCAGCGTCGACGGCAAGCATGTAATCACGATCGAGGGCATCGGCAACACAAAAGCACCACACCCCGCCCAAGAACGCGTGGCGAAGAGCAACGGCAGTCAGTGCGGTTTCTGCACTCCGGGCATCGTCATGAGCTTGTATGCCTTGCTGCGCAACAACCAAGCGCCGTCCGAAGAGGATATCGAGGAGGCTTTCGACGGCAACCTCTGCAGATGTACGGGATACAAGCCCATACTCGAAGCAGCGCAGACCTTTAGCGTCGAGAGGGGATGTGGCAAGGCACGGACGAACGGTGGCTCGGGCTGCTGTATGGAAAACGGTGACGGCGAGAAGAAGGCGGGCGGGTGCTGCATGGACAAGGCCAACGTTGACGACCAGCCCATCAAGAGGTTCACGCCACCAGGTTTCATCGAGTACAACCCCGATACCGAATTGATCTTCCCTCCGGCCTTGAAGAAGCACGAAATGAAGCCGTTGGCCTTCGGCAACAAGAGGAAGAAGTGGTACAGACCAGTCACCCTCGAGCAGTTGCTCGACATCAAGAGCGTATACCCCTCGGCCAAGATCATCGGTGGCAGCACCGAAACCCAGATTGAGATCAAGTTCAAAGCACAACAGTACCCCGTATCCGTCTTTGTAGGAGACATTGCAGAGCTGCGGCAGTACGAGTTCAAGGATGATCATTTGGAGATTGGTGGAAACGTGGTGCTGACGGACCTGGAACACATCAGTAAAGAGGCCACGCGGCATTACGGCGATGCACGGGGCCAAGTCTTTGAGGGCATCTATAAGCAGCTGAAGTATTTCGCCGGAAGGCAGATTCGCAACGTCGGCACACCAGCTGGCAACCTTGTCACAGCTTCGCCAATCTCGGATTTAAACCCCGTTCTTTGGGCTGCCAACGCCGTTTTGGTGGCCAAGTCCCAGAGCCAGGAGACGGAAATCCCCATGTCACAGTTCTTCACTGGATACCGAAGGACAGCGCTCCCGCAAGATGCCATCATCGCCTCCATCAGGATACCTGTGACGGCCGCCAAGAATGAGTTCTTTAGAGCCTACAAGCAGGCCAAGAGGAAAGATGACGACATTGCCATTGTGACGGGCGCTTTACGGATCAAGGTCGACGACGACGGTGTCATCACAGAATGCAACCTCATCTACGGTGGCATGGCTGCCATGACTGTCGCCGCAAAAAACACGATGGAGTACCTGGTGGGCAAGCGCATTGACGAGTTGGAGACGCTGGAAGGAGCGATGAACGCCCTCGGAACCGACTTTGACTTGCAATTCAGCGTCCCGGGAGGCATGGCTTCGTACCGGAAGGCCCTAGCGTTCAGTTTCTTCTACCGCTTCTATCACGACGTAATCACTAACCTGGGCGGACAAAGTCAACACGTTGATACTGAGGCGATTGACGAACTCGAGAGAGGTATCTCTGGCGGAACTGAAGATGATGGCGCGGCTGCTGCGTACGAACAGGAGACCGTGGGCAAGTCCAAGAGTCACGTTGCCGCGCTGAAGCAGGTAACCGGTGAGGCACAGTACATTGACGACATTCCCGTGATGAAGAACGAGCTGCACGGCTGCTTCGTGCTGTCCACCAAGGCCCACGCAAAGATCAAGTCAATCGACTACTCGCCTGCTCTCGACATGCCGGGCGTCGTCGACTACATCGACAAGGATGATGTCGACACCCCTGAGCAGAACCGCTGGGGCGCCCCTCACTTCGATGAGCTCTTCTTCGCCGAAGGCGAGGTGTTCACTGCTGGTCAGCCAATTGCCATGATACTCGCCACTTCAGCATCTAGAGCTGCCGAGGCCGCACGTGCGGTCAAGGTCGAGTATGAGGAACTGCCGTCTATCCTTACAATCGAGGAGGCCATTGAGAAAGACAGCTTCCACAACTACTACCGAGAGCTCAAGAACGGAGACACTGAGGAGGCATTCAAGAACTGTGATTACGTGTTCACTGGTACGGCGCGGATGGGTGGGCAGGAGCACTTCTATCTCGAGACTCAGGCTTCGTTGGTTGTTCCAAAGCCTGAAGATGGAGAGATGGAGGTGTTTGCCAGCACCCAAAACGCCAATGAGACGTAGGTCAACTCCCTCAACCTCTAAGCTTTGTGCTAACCCTTCATAGGCAAGTGTTTGTTGCTCGCATGACCGGTGTCCAAGCCAACAAAGTCGTTGTCCGCGTCAAGAGACTCGGCGGTGGCTTCGGTGGCAAGGAGACCAGATCAATTCAGCTCAGCGCCCCGCTCGCGCTTGCGGCCAAGAAGACGAAGCGTCCCTGCCGTTATATGTTGACCAGAGAAGAGGACATGGTCACCTCGGGCCAGCGTCATCCGTTCTTGGGCAGATGGAAGGTTGGCGTGAACAAGGACGGCAAGATCCAAGCGCTGGATCTTGACGTGTTCAATAATGCCGGCTGGACCTTCGACCTAAGTGCGGCTGTCTGCGAGCGAGCGATGTCGCACTCGGACGGTTGCTACAAGATCCCGAACGTCTTCATCCGCGGACGCTTATGCAAGACCAACACAATGTCAAACACGGCATTCCGAGGCTTCGGCGGTCCTCAAGGCATGTTCATTGCCGAGACATACATGGAGGAGGTCGCAGACCGATTGGGCATGCCGGTCGAGAAATTGCGTGAGATCAACTTCTACAAGCCGCTGGAGCCGACACACTTCAACCAACCCCTGACCGACTGGCATGTGCCATTGATGTACGAGCAGGTTCAGAAGGAGGCCAAATACGAGCAGCGAAGAGAGCTCATCAAGCGCTTCAACGACGACAACAAGTGGCGCAAGCGCGGTCTCTCCATCATCCCGACAAAGTTTGGTATCTCGTTCACGGCTCTGTTCCTCAACCAGGCGGGCGCCCTCGTGCACATCTACCACGACGGATCCGTCCTCGTGGCTCACGGTGGTACGGAGATGGGCCAAGGCCTGCACACCAAGATGACGCAGATCGCCGCACAAGCTCTCCAGGTGCCGTTGGATAACGTTTTCATCTCCGAAACGGCCACCAACACGGTAGCCAACGCCTCGGCGACAGCGGCATCCGCCTCGTCAGACCTCAATGGCTACGCCATCTACAATGCATGTGCGCAGCTCAATGAGCGCCTGGCACCGTACCGGGAGAAGCTCGGGCCGGCTGCGACGATGAAAGACCTGGCACATGCCGCCTATTTTGATCGTGTGAACCTCTCAGCGCAAGGCTTCTACAAGACGCCAGAGATTGGGTACTCATGGGACGAGAACCGAGGCAAGATGTTCTTCTACTTCACGCAGGGCGTCACCGCCGCCGAGGTCGAGATCGACACCCTGACGGGGACCTGGACTTGCATCCGCGCAGACATCAAAATGGACGTCGGCCAGTCCATCAATCCAGCGCTCGACTACGGCCAGATCCAGGGCGCCTTCGTGCAGGGCCTCGGCCTGTTCACCATGGAAGAGTCGCTCTGGCTCCGCAACGGGCCGATGGCGGGCAACCTCTTCACGCGAGGACCCGGGGCGTACAAGATCCCCGGGTTCCGCGATATCCCACAAGAGTTCAACGTCACGCTTCTCAAGGACGTGGAGTGGAAAGACCTGCGGACAATCCAGCGATCACGGGGCGTGGGCGAGCCGCCGCTGTTCATGGGCAGCGCAGTCTTTTTCGCGATCCGTGATGCACTGAAGGCGTCAAGACGGCAGTACGGGGTTGAGGCGACGGTCGGAGAGGACCGGGTGGGCGACGGCCTGCTGAGACTGGAGAGCCCGGCAACACCCGAGCGAATCCGACTTAGCTGCGAGGACCCAATTATGAGAAGGGCAAGGGTGCTGCCGAAGGAGGGGGAGAAGAGCTTTTTTGTAGCCATTTAGAAACAGACACCAAGGGTGAGAGAACCCAGGTTGCGTGAAGGAGTTTAACGAGGTTTTTTTTTTTCATGACAATAGGCGGGCTTTTGAAGTGATGGTTACGATACACGTTGAAACTCGTTGTTACCCATGTTGGGTATTCAGCTCATCAATGATCGATCTAGCACACAAAGAGACAGTTGGCAATGGCGTTATTTTAGTCTGTGCAGGATTTACACGTCGTATGCCGGGAACAGCAACGCATCACACGATCTCCCATCGCGTCCCCAAATCGCCAAGTCTTCCTCCGTAGGCAAAAAGATGGGATGGTGAGGGGTTGGTTCGGGGTCGACCGAGGCGGCGCTAGATGGAGTTCTCTCCCAGTCCGACACGTTCGCATTGCGGACCAAGCTTTACCGAGTCAAGACCGGGGAGGAGAGGAAAAGCTGAAAGGTGAAAAAACACTTGGGCCGAACGGACGGGCTGTGGTTTCATGCTGGCATTACATTGCATCCTGCAAGCTTTTCGAGTGTTAGGTGAGGGGAGTTAGGGAAGCCCAGGCTAGGGAGCGAGTCACGGCTAGACATCAGACGAGGACCACTTGATGCCTGTCAGTGTGGAAAAGCCAAGAAATGCCCCATCAGGGTCGGGTTCTTTGCTGGGAGACTTTGGGCCTGTTGGACGCTCATCAACCCCCGGAACAGCCCACATGGAGCGTTGTCGGTGCGTAACTACGGGTCGCGGACTCTGCATTGCGACGGTGGTAGTCTTCATCGGTCCGTAGGGCAGAAGGGAACCTGCATTTTGACGTATGTCTGTGCTGTGCAGCGCGTTTGGCCTGTGGTGGTCATGATATCACGGCCCGAGGCGCGATGTGAGAAGCATGAGGTTGTATTAAGATTAAGGGAAGGGGGAGGTGAGGACCTGCTTTGCGGTTCACCGAGGTTATCGAGGACGACTCGGATGAAAAGGCGGGGGAAATCTTGTGTAATTCTCATGTCCTCGGGCGTCTTCCGACACCTGGGGAGGGTTGGATCAAGATTACTGGCTTAGATCCCAGTTTGGCGGCTTTGCCCAGCGGCGGCGCTCAGCTTTACCGAGCCACGGGTAAGCAGCAGCGAGGCCGAGTCAATGCGTCGTATCGTTATGTCGAGACGAGTTGTGGTGGGGGCGGGTTGCAAGAATTTTCCCCGACGGCCATTTTCATGTCACAATTCGGCTCAAGTGACGGTGTGAGTGGTGAATGCGATTGATGAGTGAATGAATGGATAAGTGAGTTAGCCGGGCGAACGAGTAACTGCATACATAGTACCATAGTTAGGCCAAGCGGCGGACCAAGACTAAAGACCAACAAATCCAAGGTGACGAGGAACCAACCCCATCATCCCCGCAGCGTATAGGTACCAATAACACAGACCGGCCTTGACCTTGGACCGATCTTACAGTCTGGGTCAACGGGCCAGTCCCGTCGTGGTGTTCCTAGGTGTGCCAACCCACTTCCCATCGTGATTCGCCATCCGTCCGTTTTTGTCTGTTCTCCCGTTTCTACGAAGCTTTTCTAAAAACATATCCCTTCGCTCTGTCCAACTCTCCCGTCCCCTTGGGACCGATCAGCATTCAATCGCACATCTAGCGCAAGACCTCGGCGCACATTGCCGCGCGAGTCTCAAAGCCACATACAACCACCACCACCACTAACCAGCCACCCTACGCACTGGTTCGAAAACCCCTTCGACCTTCCCGCGGCCCCTCGCCTCGCTCGAGCCGAACGACACACCGAACGAGACATACAACCCGGAAAAGATTGACGTTGCGATCCGCGACGTCCCGTGCCCAGCAAACACCAGGGCTGCCAGCGAAGAGACGAAAACACACCTACGACAGCAAGCATAGCCGAATCTAGCCCGGCGGCTGCCCGCACGCGACAACTCCGTCCTCCCCTCCCGCGGCGCCTGCAAAAGCCCGCGACGCCGCAAAGTTGCCCAGACCGCGAAGCTCGACCACGAGCAACCCTCCCCCGTGTCAAATGATCTGCGAACCCTCGTCTTTTGCGTAACCTTCGAGGTCCAATGGGAGCGGCTGCCCCATTGAGCTGATTCCGAACCCACCTAACACCTGCCAATCCACCACCTGCCCGCTCCGTCCAGCCCTCGCCATGCCAGAGAACGGCAAGGACGTCAAGTCCGAAGCGCAAGAGGACAAGGAGAAGCCTGAGAAGCCCGAGAACAATGGCGGCCATGCCCACTCGGCAAAGAGCCCCAAGAAGCGCCGTAAAGTGAATCACGGTACGTTGGGCTACACCCTTGCCATGCTGGACCCTTGGGTTGCTATCGGATCGCGACTACGGTAGCGGTAGCAAACCCCCAGGTTTCCCTTCACCTCGCAAGGTGGCGATTGCTAATGCCCTATTGCCTCCCAGCTTGCGTCTACTGCCGGCGATCTGTAAGTCAGATAGCCCTTACCCGACGAATCCGTTTGGCATTGCTCCCCCGGCTTTGCGCATGGCGTTGACACTATTGTCTGCCTGCTATGCTGCTGTGCGATGCTCTGCCAGACGCCGACCCTTGCCTGCATACAGGCTTGGCTTTGCCTCGCGCGGGAAGACCGCGAGGGGGGCAAACAAAAGCGAAGAGAGAAAACGATGGCTGACGGATAGTGTCTTGCCTGCTACATAGCATATGACATGCGATCTCGTATGTAAGATCTCTTTCTTCACACATCATTGGCGCGAATGAGCGGTGCCTTGCTTCTGCGTCGCCTGCCCCGCGTCAAGTCGGCTTCTCGGGAAGCCCCGCCCGCGCGCTCTCATCCCCCCTTGGCTCGTGCAACGCCCGCTGACCTGTTGTGCCCAGGAACGACCGTGTACGCGATGCATCAAGCGCAATATCGGCCACCTCTGCCACGACGAGCCGCGCGATCCCGACTCCAAGAAGGCCAAGAGCTCGCACGCCCCCTCCGCCGCTGACGAGTCCGAGACGACACAATCCGAGCTCGCGCGAGGCTCCATAGACCAATCCGCGGCCGGGTCCATGGGCCCGCCGCCTCCTTTCGACAGAAAATCGTCTGCTTTTGGCGCTGCCGTCTTGGGCCAGGGGAACCCGCTGCACCTCGTGTCACCGGGCTCTGTCTCTGGCATGCCGGGGAACGGCAGCAACATGAACCAATGTAGGTCCTGGCCCGCTCCTGTTCTACCCCTCTCCTTGGTGCGTCGTGCCTGGGTTCTCTGCCTTTCTCGCACGCGGCCGCGCTTCCCTTGAAAGAAGACGAAGAACAAGAAGAAGAAGAAAACAAACAAGCATCACCAGAGACACGAAAGCTAACGTGATGCGCCCGGGTGCAACAGTCGCTGGATTTTCCGACGCCTGGTTGACGGCCCAGAACCACTACCACGACATGCAGAGCTACCACCCCAACTACATGATCGCCCCTGAGGTCACGCATGAGTTCAACCTGCTGAACGACTTTTTGCAAACGAGCCTGCTCGATGACGGCGGCATTCTCTCCGACGAGTCCCAGAACAGCCCCGCGTTCAGCAGGACAGCGGGCGCCAACGACATGCTGCCGACCTTTGGAAACCACAACAACAGGGCCGGTGCCGCCGGCAACAGTGCGCTCTCGCAAATGCTGCCGCCGCAGAATCCCGAGCCGGGAAAGGCGATAGCGCGGCCCGGCAGCGTCATCCAAGGCGACAAGGACAAGGCGCGCGAGTACTACCTCCAGGCGGCCGACCCGTCAGGCAATGACACCCCCGAAGAGCGCATGGACCGTGTGCTCAAGGCCAAGTACGAAGCTGGGCTGCTGAAGCCGTTCAATTACGTCAAGGGATACGCGCGGCTCGGCACCTACCTGGACAGCCATATTGCGCCGTCATCGAAGCAGAAGATCCTACGAACCATTGACCGATTCCGACCCAAGTTCCGCGAAAAGGCGCAGGCTCTGACCGACATGGAGCTTCTCTATGTAGAGATGTGGTTTGAGAAGCAGCTCATGGAGTACGACCGTGTGTTTGCCAGTATGGCTGTCCCGGCGTGCTGCTGGAGGAGAACCGGCGAGATCTTCAGGGGCAATAATGAGATGGCGGAGCTCTTGCACGTCCCAGTCGAGAACCTGCGAGATGTATGTCTGAGTTTATCCGTGGTTGACTGGCCAAAGCTGACCTCACAACAGGGCAAGATCTCTCTACACGAGATACTGACGGAAGAGTCTCTCGTCCGGTACTGGGAAGAATTCGGAACCATCGCTTTCGACCCCGCCCACGACACGCTGCTCACGGCCTGCACGCTCAAGAACCCAGACGACAAGGCGACTGATCCGGTGGTACACTGCTGCTTTTCATTCATGATTCAACGAGACAATCACAAGATGTGAGTTTACCCCAAGTCTTGCCGTGAATGACACCGATGCTGACAGACGATACGCAGCCCCACCCTCATCATTGGCAATTTCTTGCCCAACGATCCTGCTCGGCCGTAATTTATTGCATTTCAAAGGTTGGGAACTTGGGGTCGGAGAAACCAAAAAGGGATCGGCGTCATTTGGATACCAGGGCATTGTTTTAGATTAATCGCATATTCGAGTCCACTCTCTGTGCTGTAGCATAAGAGAAACTCAGTACATATCACACGCAGTATTTGGGTCCGATCGGGTGCAGGAGCGGATGTGTCTCGGGCCTGCCGCAGTCTTTCGGACCGGCGGCCGGTGCTAGTCGCCCCACATTCGGCTCCCGGTGCTCGTGAGTAAGGAAGCATTGGCTTACGCCTTCCGTGGACGATTCGGCATCTGCCACTTTCGAATTTCATCGTTTACTTTCCCCGGTCATTCTTCTTCTACCTGATATGTCCGACTCGTCCCTTGATCGTATTGCACTCGCTTGCTGATCACTGCCCAAACGCCGTGACTATCGTGTTCAAATAACTTCTCCAATCTGGTGCTTTCCCGACCTCGCCCGGCAAAATGCCTCCTGTGGCTCACCCAGCGTCCCCTAGGGGTGCCCAACCCGACAAGATTGCATCGTTCACAAGTTCGTCCCGTGAGAGATGCATGCTCCGAAGGGCTAGCTAACGAGGATCCAGCCTTCTCGCAGAACCTCCTGAAGCGCCTACCGTCCGCCAATGACCCCCTCGCGATCGACGCACTGCTCGCCGAGCTGAAACCGCACCTAGAAACGATCATCAACTTCCACACAGCATCGAGGGCAAGGACACAGCGGGGCGAACTGGACAAGAAAGGGACCGAACTGTGGAACGTTTGCACCAGGCTACGCCGCAACGATGTCGCCGGCGTGCCACCGACAAAGAAGAAGCTTTTACTTCGGAGCAGAGTCTATGCGTTTTTCATGATCTCTGTTGCGAGAGGCGCCGTCTCTGGCGCGAAGCCGCAGATGGCGGATGCGGTGCACCTGACGAAACTGATGCTCAAGGCCGGGAGGATGTGCATTGGTCTGTTGTTATGTCAGAGGTCTTTACGAACTAGACAACTGACTATGGTGTAGACGACGATAGCATCACAACCAGTACGGGCACGATGAAGCTTGTCAATGCCATCTTCTCAAAAGGAGCGGGATACGTCACGGCACTGGGCGAGCTCCAGAAAACAATGCTTAGGCCTGACGACTTGATTGAGTGCAAACGTCTAGACACTGAATACTACATACTTCGCACGGCACTGGTAAGTTTTACACACCCAACAACGTACAGCATCTGACAGTTGACCGCCCAGGCCTGGAAGGAGGACAACCTCACCGTCGCCGAGTTCATGTACAATAAGGGCCACCTCCAGCCGCAATCTTTGGACCCAACCTCCGCCGAGAAAATGACCGAGGTTCTGTTTGAGATGGGCAAGGACCTCTCCAAGAGGGGTGATTTCCCCATGGCGGCGCGGTGGCTCGAACGAGGCTACAACACCATCAACGCCCAGGACCTGGGCCACCTCTCCCGCGACGCCATCGAGCTGCGTCTCGCCGTCTGCCAGGCCCTGGTCCACGCGCTGCTAGGAATGAACACGCAAGACTCTTCTCAAAGGGCGTTTGAGCTGGTCAACTACGTCGAGAACGAGATCGGCGACAAGCCCGTGGTGCTGCTCCTCCGGCTCGAGCTCCTGCAAAAGGCGCCAGCCGAAGTATTTGACGTCGAGGCCTATGCCAACATCCTGAGGCGTATGGTGCAGGCTTTCAACTTCTCCGAGGCCTACTTCAAGCTGCTCGTGCATCACGCGCGGAAACTGCACGACAAGAGCCCAACGCAGGCGACCAGTGTCGTGGATGGAATGCTCATGGGTGCAGTCGTCTCTTCAGGACGCGATGAATGGGTTGAGAGATTGGTGCTTCTGAGGATTTGGATGGAGATAAACCAGAGGGATAGTATGAAGGCCATCGAAGGGCTGACGGCTGTCTTGGAGGGGCTTCAGGATGACCTTGAGAAGCCTTTCGGGGCATCTACAGCGGTCGGGGCTTGGACAGTAAGTTGCCGATCTTTTTTAAGGTTAAGAAGTACTGACTTTCGACCAGCTACTATGGAAGAAGATCGAGGTCAACTACAACCAAGGCCACTTCGATTTCGCCGATGGTTGGTGCCAGATCGCGCTGCAGCCCCTTTTCCAGAACGGTGGACCTGCGAACTTGTCAAGGCTCGGCAGGTGCGTGTTACCCCTGACTATGACGCGGGTACGCTGACAACCGCAGGAAGCTCCTTCTCTGTGCCCTGGGGCGGAACGACACCGAGAGGGCGCGGCAAGTATTCCACAACATGTCGGAAGCAGCGCGAAACGAGCCGATGACGCGGTACCTAATGTACAAGGTCGCGCTCCGCTCAGCAGACCGCGAACTGGCAGCAGAGTGTGTTGAACGGATCGGGGTTGCGGCCGTACAAGAGCCCGACTTCCTCTACGCTTGCGTCTTGGAGGCGCAACAGGCGGGGGATAGGGTGTGCGCGATGCAGGCCATGAAACAGCTGGCCAATAGATTCGAGTTCAGCGAAGCATCTCCTATACACTTTCCTGCGCTTTTACGGTGCAACATCCGGCTTGCCGTGTCGATCATGGAGAGCGAGAAGGACGCTGTAAGACGCAAAGCGGCGGTGGAGGAGATTCTCGCGTTGTTTGAAACAGGTGAGGAACATCGCATGCTCACAACCAGGTTGTCGTGGTTAACAAGAACATAGCGTCCAAAGCAATCCATCGAAACCCAAAGGACAAGGACGGCAACCGCCTCTTCACGGTGAAGGAGCTCGATTGGTTTTGTCAGAACGCGTGCAACCTCGGCCTCAAGTATTCGGACAGCTGGGACGTGGAGCAGCTCGTCCGTCTGTACGACAGCTGCCTCGCCATCACGAAACACTACCCTCCAGACATCCCCGCCGAGGCAGCCAGCGACCTCGCATTCAGGACCATGTTCTGCCACTTCGTCGCCGCTGCCGCCCTCGTCTCTCTCGCCCGCGTCGAGGACAACGTCGAGCGGCAGCTACAGCACTACCTTGACACGCGGCGGCACGTCAAAGCGTACAACGACGCGCTGGAGGAGCGTATGAGCGGGCTGGACAAGAGGCTGAAGACCGACCTCGTCGCAAAGCTGGCAACGTTGATGGTGTTTGACTTTGAGGCGGCGATGGCGCTAAAGGAGCATGAGGTCCTCGGATACATTATCCGCACGGCAAAGACGTGCCGAGATGTGAATGCGCTCAAGGCCATGGGCGACATTGCTTTGCGCGGCAAACTTCCCGGCCAAGGTGTGTCTTCTTACTTGGGGTGTTTGTAATAAAGGCTTAACTGACGGACGACGCCACGACAGAGCTCTACTCCACGCTGGGCGTCATCGTCAATGAGATCTGGGAGCTCGAGAGGATCAAGGGCGACCGGCTGGCAAAGTACATCCGGTGCATGTTCCACGCCGTGCTGCCGCTCGACGCGGCGCTGGGGCAGAGGCTGATGAAGCAGGCCGTCGACGTGGCGAGGGATGCCCGCGGTGTTTGTGTACCCCTTGCCCCCTTTCCCCCTCTCTCACACAAAATCTTCGCTGCGCATTCTGCCAGAAAGTGGTCGCTGACTTGGCATCCGTACCCTAGGGCCAGCACCCGTTCCCGCCCGAGGAGCTCGAGTGGCTCGTAGCCATGTCCTTTAATCAGGCGGTCGACGCCTACAACGCCCGGCAGGACGACGAGTGCACCAAGTGGGCGGAACTGGCGATGAACCTGGCGCACTATGCCGACGACGGCGGCGCGCTGGAGGCCATGTTGCATGAGAACTGGGCGAAACTGAAGCTTTGAGTTGTCGTGGGCTGGTCGTTAGGAACTGACGTTGACACAGGGCGTTTCTCATTCATGGCGAAGCCAGCTTGGCTCTAGGTGGATACACGCAATGATAAGCAGGGTAGGCAAGTTTAATCAGCCCGGGGGCTTGGGCTGTCGAATGAATCAGAATGAGGAAAATAGTTGAGAAACTTGCATTTTTCTCTAGGCGCGGACCAGCCGGGTCGAAACGCATGGTGAAATCTCCGATGTTATATCATCATCCAGACCAGGTAGCTAGCAAATGTAACGCTAAACGTATCCGCCAACCTGTACACCCCCCTCACCCAGTTCCATAGTGGCCCAGCCTTTTACCGCCGCTGGCCGTCGTGTGCGTCGTGTCAATCGTTTATTACATACCGTATACAGCCGTCCTTGTGACAGCAGTCTGTAAAAGGTCTAGCAGATGGCATGGGTTTTGCCAGTCTTACCCTGTATGGAATGCTTTTCCTTCTGTAGGTCTAGGTTAGCCGACGTCTTGCCCTGTTCGCACCAGGGGATGGGGACGAACTCTGAACCTAGGGTGGTTGTGAGAGGCCTTTGAGCTGGTGAGGTGGTGCTTGTGGATGAAGTCCTGCTGCCTCTTGATGCTAGCATGGTCCATCTGATCGAGCAGGCCCATGCACAGCTTGATATCGGTGATGAGGGCGTCGCAGCGCGACTTGCTAAAGTCCTCGCGGACGACGACGCGAAGCATCTTGAGGTCGTTGGTCTTGGGCGCCATGGTGTAGGCGGGGACGACCCAGCCGCGGACGCGGAGCTGATGCGCCAGGGCAAACTCGTCGTAGGTGCGGTCCTCCTTTTCGGGCAGGCGGAAGGCCACAAGCGGGAGGCCCTCGCCGGCGCGCTTGGACATGATAATGAAGCCCAGGACCTCGAGGGACTGGGAGAGGTAGTCGGCGGTGCGGGTGAGGTTGGACATGATGGCGCGGTAGCCCTTCTTGCCGAGGCGGATGAGCTGGTAGTACTGGCCAATGACCTGAGAGGCACCCTTTGAGAAGTTGAGGGTGAAGGAGGCCTGGTCAGCGCCAAGGTAGTTGATGTTGAAGACGAGCTCCTGGGGGAGGAACTCGGCGGAGCGCCAGACGACCCAACCGACGCCAGGGTAAACAAGGCCGTACTGCGGGTGTTAGTGAGGGCTGAGGTGGGGTCAAAGAGGGGGGTGTTCGTACCTTGTGGCCGGAGACGTTGATGGAAACGACGTTCTTCAGACGGAAATCCCACTCCAGGTCAGGAACGACAAAGGGGGCTACAAAGCCTCCGCTGGCAGCGTCAACGTGAATGGGAACGTCCAGGTTCTTCTCGAGCAGCAGGTCGTTGACAGCCTTGACATCCTCATACTCGCCAGTGTAGGTAGTGCCCAGAATAGCGCAAATACCAATGGTGTTCTCGTCAATGAGGTTGACCGTCTCCTCGGGGTCAATGACATAGCGGTCGGGCGCGCAGTAGACGAGCTTCTCCTCAACCTCGAAGTACCGGGCGGCCTTTTCCCAGCACACCTGAACGGCGCTGGACATGATGATGTTGGGGCGGTCGACGGGCTTGCCCTCGGCCTGACGCTTGTTCTTCCAACGCTTTTTCATGGCGAGAACGGCGAGCATGATGGCCTCGGAGGAGCCGACGCAGGAAGTACCGATAGCGCCAATGCCCTCGTCGGCGCTGCCGGGGGCGTGGAAGAGCTTGCCGATCATGGAGACGCAGCGGTTCTGGATATCGGCGGACTGAGGGTATTCCTCGTAGTCGATGAAGTTCTTGCTGAAGCTCTCGGTCTACGGGGTGGGTTCAACGTTAGATGGCTGGCTTGAAGCATTTTCACGGGCGTCTGTAATTTACCATGAGCTTCTCGGCTTCTTCCTCCTAGGATGGGTGTCAGCTGTGGGCGTCATTGCGTGAAGGTTTAAGTGAGGGGGAGACGGATGCTGCTCACCATGTAAGTTGTCACAAAGGAGGCGAGGCTATAATTGTAAGTCAGATGGGTGGTGGGCGAGAGCAACGCGGACGAGAGCCTACTTGAGCATGGGGTTACCGTCGAGGCTGAGCTCGTCCTTGATCATGCGGTAGGCGACCTCCTTGGGCATCTCATTCTCGGGCATCTCGCTCTTGGGCAGGTCCTGATTGGCGAAGCGGGAGCCGTAGACGCTGGTGGTGAAGCAGTCTTCCTCATCGGCAAGCTGGAGCTGAACCTTGCTGAGCTTCTGCTGGACCTCTTTGAGCTCGGTGGAGGTTGAGTCCTCGGAGGCAAAGCCCGAATCGGGGGGCGTGCTGACGGTTGCGAGGTGGACCATTTTGAACGAGACGAGTGTGGGTTTTCCGTTGACTGGGATATAGAGGATATGGGTGAGTGTGAGGAGAGGAGATTCAGTAACGAGGTGAAGGGCGGATGCAGGAGGGTGTTATATGAATTGGGAAAGCTGGGTGCCAGAGCAAAGCTGGAGTCTAGGAACAAGCGGGCGAGAGAGCAACGGAGGGGAAGAGAGAGAAGAGGAGAGGAGAGGAGAGTGGGGGCATTCACAGCAGCAAGAGGATCAGCATCTGCGATGCAGTACCTAACTCAACACGCAGCAGGGCGAAGCTAGGTCAAGGGGGGCGTGGGCATGGCAGCTACCTACTTTTCCCGGCGCAGCTTCTCCGACAGAACAAGGACAGCTCTGGGAGCCAGGAAGGAGCAAAGCCAATGGCAGCTGCAAGTGGGGTGACTGAGCGAGCTGCACCTCACACTCTGGATCCTGTACTGTACACGCACAGGAACACTGCCCACTGAATCCGGAAGGCGGGGCAAGGTGCGGTGTGGCCAGTACGTACCGTCCGAAGCTCGAAGCTACATCATCGACGTGAAGCCGTGCAGCGTCCTTGGCAGGCACTCGGCGGGAAGGTGGACTGAAGCTTCGGTACCTCCCGTGCATCCCCTCGAGTATCTGTACTTGAAGCCGAGTTGCTGAGCTGCCTGCTATGTACCTTCGGTAGTCGAGACACCTCCCTGACCGAGATGCTCGTTCCAAGCTCCGGGAACCAGAAAAGGTTGAAGGAAAGGGCAAGAAGCAAAATCAGCCAAATCGAATTCAACAGAAACCAGATAACTTTGGGATGCCCCGGCCGCCGACTCCGTTGCAAAAGCACGTGTTTGTCTTGCAGATGAACATTCGCAGTTTTCCCAAAGAGAGAAGGGCGGCCTCCCTTTGTCCATTGCCCCCTCCCTCGATGAGTCCACACACATCTCGACACAGCGCAAACCACAAACCCACCTCGGCTCCATCTCTGGCCAAGACACCAGAGAGCGACTCTTGACAGCTTTCCCCAGGTCCCAAGCCAACGCCCGATAAAAGCTTGGCACGGGTGACATTTCGGTTGGTCCACAAGAGGCGCCCACCTAAAGAGACCCCTAGCCCACACCTGGAACCTCCATGTTTCGTCCAATCGTCAGCCGTGCCGGTCTGCCGCCAGAGCACCACCCCCTGGCACCAGCGGAGACGGACTGGATTGGACCTGTTACTGTGGATGGTACTTAGGTAGGTAGTGACGGCAGACTTGGTCCTGGCCCTGGGACCCGGTCCTGGAGCTCCAACCCATCGCCCATCGCCCAAACAACAAACGTTCGTCACTGCCGGCTCCGTCGAGGATGCATGCTGCAGCAACACAGCGATTGGGCTCTGGATAAACCGGCTCGGATATCAATGCCTAGCACCCAGCACAGCCCGCACCAACTCACCAACCCAAAGTCTATGTAAAACGCATCAAACGGGGGCCTTACACGACGTCGCATGCGTCGATTCTCCCCGTCCACTGGAACACGCTGCCCGTATTTCCCTCAACCCTCGGCCCTCCCTCCCCAATGACATCACGACCGCCTGTTTTAATCCACGCGTGGCCAGAAATCACCTCAGCGATTCACCGTCCAGTCCCTGCCTCTCCCTTCCCTCCCTGGCCAAACATCCGGGAGGTGGAGGGGGGAAAACACCATGCCATTTCTTCACCGAGCAAATCCCACGCGCCTTAGCACGCTTGACCGCCAAGACATGTCGTCCAACCCTCAAAAGGGTCCAGACCCTGATTTTTTGGACTCAAGGTGGATCGACTGAAGAAAGTCCCGTCCTCGAGGAAACCCCCCACGGATCATCACCGCCGCCTCGCTCCCTGGCCTCCTTTCCGCACCCTGTGGCGCAGCCCCGCCAACAAGGCCACCGGCCGCCGACTGTGGTTCGACTTTGCCCTCATGCTCTTCCGCTCGTAAACTCGCTGAACGTCAACTCGACCGGCTCCCCGTGGAGATCAACTCACCTCTTTTTCCCCCTACGTAGAATTCCTACAACCTCAGTTTGGGTTGCCTCTGCCGGCTCGTCTTGCCTGTGACAACCAAATCATTGCGTCCACCTTTGCTTGTACATCGCCCACTTCCGTAAGGATGGGACGAAACTGCCGTGAACATCGGATTGTGACATCCTCTCTCCGCGGCCATCTCATGTTTAATGCATCACCAAGCAGTGGGATTCCATCTTGGTCCAACCTTGAGCTTCTGCCTGGGTAGTCGGGCCTGGCAGGCCCGGGTTGTCACAAAGTAGTGGCCATCCTGCCCCAAACGCTTGGCTTCATGTCAGACGGGTTCTTCGTCTATTCCAAGGCTACAGTCTTTCTAGCCTCTCTGATACTGCCTGGCCCCCAGTCACGAGGGACCTATGAATGTCTAATCAAACACAAGATGCAATGCTAGGTCACCCGAGATACTCCCAGGCGCAAGCTCTGATAGCCCTTCTTTCCCGGTCATCATCAATCAACCCTCGGTTACATCCATTGCGTCGCCCTTTGCCCTGGCCTTGGCGGCCGCAATCTTCTCGTCCTTCCACTTTTGAATCTTCTCCTTGAGCTCCGTGTGCGGGATCGCATCGTCCACCGTCATCGGCTGGCGCGTGAACGGATCCTTGGGGTCCGAAAGCAAGTGCTGTACGATAGTGCCGCGGTCGACAATGTGCTTCGACGGCAGGATGACGGGGTCCTTCATCAGATCGCCCATGATCGGGTCCTCAAACTCGGCGGGGATGTCGCCGAGGTCTAGTTCTGCCTGATCTGCGATCTGTTTCGACTCCTGGAACTTGGCCTTCAGGCTGTCAAACTGCTCAAGCTCGCTGGCATCCTTCATGCTCCGCTTCGACAGAATGAAACTAGCTTTGTCGAACACCTCCGGCTTGTACGAACGGCCGTCTGAAGCAACCGCGTCAATAAACGCCTGGGACGAGCCCAAGTTGAGGTAGATGTCGACAAAGTCCGACAGCAAGACTCGAGGTTGGAAGTGGTACTTTGACGGGTTGTTCACCTTGAGCTGGCCCATCTTAGGGCCCGCCAGCGTCTCCAGGTTGTAGTTGAGCATACTCGCCAGACGCTGCACGATTTCGGGCATGGTGAAGGCTGACGCTAGCGCGGATGTGAAGAGTTTCATCATCGCCAGCGTCTCGTTGGCAAGCTGCATGTATGAGCCGGCCTGGCCCTCCAGGGCTTGCAGCTCTTCCTGCTTTTTCTCTCTGTCCTGCGCCGAAAGACTGTTGCCGAACTCCAGTTCTTGCTGCAACGTGTGGATCTTGGGAAACTTTGTCAAGGCCTCGTCAAGCACGTAGGTGGCATCGTTGAGCAGCAGGTTGACGAATTGAACAAAAAATTGTCGGTTGACCCTATCATTTGTTAGATGTGTTTTCATCCTCTAGTTTGTCTACAACATTTGACGAGTGCATCAAGACTCTGAGGTGAGTTCGAAGAGAGGGGATGAGACTGGCGAAGGGAAGGGAAGGCAGCTATTGTCAGACTTACTTGCTCTCTCTTGTCAACTGCTGCTTGTAAATATCGTTGCCCCAGACGCACTTGATCACTTGGAATATCTCATAACGAATGTTGAATTTGTCGTAGAACTGAGTGTGTGCACCAGTCGATTCCGCCTCAATATAGAACTTCATGAGTGCGTGCAAGAGGTTATCATTTGCGAATTTTGATCCATAGAGCTGGTCGCCGAGGACTCCCTTCTTGAAATGCATGAACGGCCATGTTCCAGAGAACAGCAATGTAACGAGCGAGGATTTGAGGTAAGGATTCTTGATGTATTCGGATGAACGCAAGAACGCAATGCACAGCGCAATCATTTCGCTGCCAACAGCAGATGGCATAATCTGAGGGAGATAGCTTCGGCAGGTTAGCGATGCCTCTAATTTGATAGCGAACTTGAGGTGAGAGTTGTCTCTAGATAAGAGTAGTCCTGCAGTGAGAGTAGTCTCGAGGGTGCTATTGACATAAAAGTCCTCTCGACTTCGGGGGTGCAAGGTGGGTGCAACTTACCGATACACGAACTTGAAGTTGTCCACCACGTCCTGAAGTGCATACTCTGGAAGACACGCAAATGCTTCAGGCGCCTCAGCAGGCAGAGGAAGTTGAAGGTCCTTGTCAGGCGTATAGTTTGTTTGGCTAGCCAGGCGAAGCAGCCAAACAGCCACGTATCGCATGAAACGAAGCGACAGCTCTTGCATCTTCTCATCCAGAAACACGCCCTCGATGGCAAATTTCATCGCGATGGCCTTCTCCAGGACAGTAGTGTGTCTTTTGAGTGTCACCTCGAACATGGCAAGTTGTGCCGGTTGCTATAAGACACTGGTCAGATCCGAGATAGCGTGCACGACATCCGAATCGGGTCATGGTGGCCAGCAGAGGGAAAAGAAGAAGACTCACATTCTGAACCTTTGGCCGTTCGGCCTCCATAGCTGCCAGATGTTTCTCGTACCATTTAATATCACGCTCCAAGCTCTTGAGCTTCGAGTTCGTTGCCTCACTGCCGTAGTGATGCGCAGCCAGAGTCAAGAAGAAGACTTCAGTGATGAAGTTAGAATTGCCTTCGACCTTCTTGGAGTAGAATGCATCGGATGCCGACTGGTCAGCGTTGAGCTTCGTTTCCTCCTTGATGTCGACGCGGGGGTTGCGTCGAAAGTATTCCACTTCGATTCTGTCGACCTTTGAGAATGTGGTGTCCATAAAAGGCGAGCAGAAACGATCCAGGATGACGGTCAAGTTCATCATGAAGCCATCTGAGGACACCTCTTTGGGATCAACCTGAAGAGCCCTACGCTTGTGGTTGGTGTTAATTGCTGAAGCAAACCAGTCGAGGACCCGTGTCCGGGTATCAGTGTCTGCTCGGATGAAAGCATTGGCAATCGTAAAGAGTTCGTCCTGGTGAACTCGCAGAATAGCTCGCAGAGCGTCTTGGGAGGGCGCGGCCCGACTTCGATCCAAACCTCGCGGGTTGGGGAAATAGGTTAGCGTGACTTCGGACTGCAGCGGCGATATCCGGAAGAAGGGTCCCAAAATGGTATCTTTTTCAACCGCCGCGCCAGACTTCTGCGCCGTCATGAAGTTGGGGTGCTGTGAGAGAGCATTCAGCAAAGCTGGGAACTTGGTGTATGACATCAATGCCTGTAAGCAGCGTTAGCTCATGTAGCCAGGAACAGGTCAGAGAAGTTTATAGGCCAGAACAGTAGACACAAGGCCAAGGCATATAGGGATAGGAGAGGCGAGGATGGAAGTCAGAGGAAAGAAGAGGTGTCGACACCAAAAGGGCGAGATGGCGCCGGTAGCGCCAGTGGCAAGCAAGGAAGGACACTCACGTTTATATACGGCTTGTAGTCGCTCTCCATAGTCAAACCAGCCAGCTTTGTGCTGATGGAATACATGGCATCGGCGAAGACTGTGGGGAACTGATCATCCTCGGGGAACCTTTTCACAGCTTCTCGGAGGAAGTCCAAGCAAACTCCGTCATCCTGCTCATGTCCGCGGAGCAGGTACGATGCCAGGCTCTCGGGCTGTGACCGTCTGGAACTGTTGTAAGCTTGGTTGCAAACCATTCCGCGCGCCGGCGTGACTTACCCAAAGAGATCAGGTATCGTGAGGGCAAATAAGCAGTTGCTAACACACAGTCTTTTTGCTTCCTCCAGAACCTCCCGCTTCTCGGGCGTCTCCTTGACTATATTCGACCGAATGATACGCTTAAAGCAAGGAAGGAGGTAACCAAGAATAGGCTTTTCGGCAGGGACAGCAGTGACGGCTTCTAATAAGGCACTGTCAAGGACAGCGGTGGTAAGCTTCAGCGGTGACCCATTCTCCTTCAGCTCTTGGCTTGCCTCGGGCAAAAAGTTGAGCTTGTGGCCGTGGACATCGGTAATGCGGTCCGGATCAACAGTGACACGGAAGATGTGACTGAGTATTCTGTCCGAGAAGTCGTCCACCGATTCCTCAGTATTGGCCTTCTTCGCAGGGGCAGGCGCTGGGGCGCGGTCATCGACGTTGGAGGACCCTCGTTTCTGGGCGCCGCTCTCGGTTGTTGGCGACGCACCGGATGCGGATCTAACGCCGAGTTGGGTGAAGGGGTTCGCTGCGGCAGGCTTTGGGGTAGAGGAAGGTGTAATCTCTGCTGGAGATTTGCCCTTCCCTTCACTTGTCGTGGCTGCGGTCGAGGTCTCGGCATCGTTCTCTGGGTTTTGTGGACTGTCTTCCGGCTTCGGGGATCTGTTCGATGACCCAAGCTTGGCCAGTCGTCGAAGTCGGATCTAGGGCGCACATCGTCAGTACCGTAGACAAGGTAACAGGTTTTCTGGCAGCAACGATCTGATCGCTGTTTGCAAATTCCGTCATTGGCGTCATAGATGTCACTCTTGTAGGCCCTCTTCAGTAGCTTCATGCTCAGTGTCGCCGTCGTCGTCGTCGTCGCGGCTACCGCCGCCAACATGCCAGGACGGTGAAGAAGAATGGCGGCGACAGCTAACAAGATAGACGGCGATCTCAACGGCGACTAGAACCAAGGAAGGGGGGAATGAGGTAGCGAGGGGCTAGGCAGCTCTTACATCATTCATCTTCTTGGAGTCAGGCGCGTCCGGCGCCTGGCTATTCTCGTTGGGATCCATCGTGCCTGACCGTCGGTGTTCGATGGGCAGCTTGCGACAGGGTGTGTAGGGTGAAGTAGGGAGTTTGACGACAGCCTAGCTTCCTGGGACAAGGCTGAGAAATGCGACGGCGAGATCTCTAGAGTTGAGGTCGGCGTGCGTGCAGAGGTGGGATGGTCGGACGTTGACGTTCAGGGCCTCGCGGGTCAGCGCAGAGGTGTGAGGAAGGTAAGGTACAGGCAAGTTAGGCAAGGTACCACGGCTGGTAGCGGGGAACAGTGACGGGCACGCGGTGAAAGTGGGGCACGGGTGGAACTTAAAACCACTGCGATGTCTCTCCCCTGTTAAGTCCGACGCGTGGAGTCCCTCCGATTAGCGGACAACTCACAAGAAACCCCCAAAGTCCGCTCACTCAGAGGGTCGAAGACACCACGATTCGTTGATTAATAAGCTTTAGGGTCGCCTTCTCACCTCCCGTTTTTGAGATTCCAAGACATTCCACACCGAGATGACTGAGAATCAACGACTCATGAGTCTTACCTTCTATTAACGATAAATACGATCTCAGAGACAGCCTGTTTTCCCTTCCTTTATGCTTCTCGGGGTATTTATGATAGGGACTGTTATTGCTTCACTCGGGATGACAGTGACTGATGCCAATATTGCAGCCGAGGAGTTCTAGTTGCATGATGGCTGACTGTATGCTCATTTCATTCCATACTAAATGATATTGCCATAAAGATGGTGCCCAAGGACCCCTAAACCCCTTTGCTCAGTTCTGCACCCATTGATCATTGGACAGGTTCGGAAGAACAGACGAAAAGTAGGAGAGGCATCTGATGAAACGTACGTCATCGGAAGTGGCGATGAAATCCAGAGACAAAAGGATGGAGGTTTGGAGGGCAGACATTGTGAGTACACTGGATCTAAGTTTTCATCAAACAGATGGTGTGTCCGGAGTCAACCTCTGAACTCCTCAAGGTTGCTCATTGTTGCGAATGTGGTAGCGTCTGAATGCCAAGGGGTCTTTTGTGTCGAGTATCTTATACGATCAGCCATCTCAAGCACAGATGTAGATACTGCAAAGATACCCCGTTGTGTCATTTGACTAGACAAGAGCGAATCAATTTTTGTTTCAATGGGCGTCTTACTGAGTAGCAGACGGCCGCAAGGGTATTTCCGTGCCATTCCGTTTTGGACGTCGCGTTTCCGTTGTCCTTTGTCCCCAAACGCCAGAAAAATCGACAAGATTTACTAGTACACAGCCCCGCGGCCTGGGAGTGGTAAAAAACAAGGCCCAGGATCAGTGCCGTCCAGGAGGTGCCGTTTTGCCCGAGACCTGTAGTTTTATCGACCAGGCCATATGCTCGGGAAGTGTGTTTACCTCCTCGATGGCAGCTCTGATCATTGGGTCCATATAGAAATCATTAGATGCAAAGTCTCTTGAGCAGATTTGCAAGATGCTCGACCCAAAGAAAAAAAAAACAAGACATAGAAGGGCCCTCAAAGGCGAGGGATGCCGTTCGACCCGTCGCTCAGTCGCCGAGACGTTGAAGGGGCGGCTTCGCCATCGCTATCGGAGCTGCCGCGTGTCCGACTGGTGCTGCTGACACTGCGGTTGGCCAGGCGGCTACGCTCGACTTCCTCGCGGCTCTTGTTCATGAGCCAAGCCATGTGCATTTTCAGTATGCCTAGGTTGCTCCTGATCTCGGTGATCTGGTCCTTGATCGGCATGACCTGGTTCAAGACCATGACCGTCTGCCGCCCTTCTAGGTCGGTGAACTCCTTTTTGAGTTCCTCCATGCGGCGTTCCATATCCTCATAAATCGTCATAACAGCCTCGGTGGGCTTGAACTTTGGTCCTCCTTGGACATTGTTCAGGTTGAAGACATCGTCCCACGAGATGCAATCCCGTCGCTCGTCCTTCAGCTCCATAATCTGTCTTTCCTGCTCTTCCGTCTGCTTCTGCAGCCTCTCGATCTGCCTCTCTTGGACCCTGACCTTATCGCCCACGACGGCGACCACTCTAAAGATGCACTCGTCCTCGTGGGTACCAAGGACCTTGCGAAGAGCGTTGTAGACGCAACCGTAAGGGGAGTACCTGCAGAGAACCGATGCCTCTGGACAGCTGCTGTCACGGTGTTGGCTGACTTCAGACCGCTTAATCGCCTCACCGCAGTCGGTGCAGTTTGCTGTGTTCTTGGTGCACTTCTTGTTGATGTGATCCGCCATCGAGGCCGCTTCCATCTTGTCCTCGCAGTACTCGCATGTCTGCTCAAAATGCCAGCACTTGCCCGAGACTGCCAGCCACTGCTCCACTCTCTTATCGCAGGCCTTGTCAGGACAGTTGTGCAGCGTATACCTGCAGTTAATGGCGTGCTTGACGACTTCCTCGCGCTTCATTGTTTCACCACATCCTCGCTCGGTATTGGGGCACTCGACAACCAGACTATCGAGAATGTTGGTCAGGAGTCTCGAGGTCTTGCAGTCCCTGGCGCGGAATTTAGTCCGGTCGATGGGGCATGTATCGGACGTATGGAAATGGCGCTTGAGGCATTCGAGACAGAAGGTATGATCGCAGGGAGTGATGATGGGAGTAACAACGGGAAGCTTGCAAATGGGACAGAGCAGATTGTCGTCGGGTTCATCGGCATACGACAGAGCGGAGAAGTCGAGCAATTCCCTGACTTTGCTGGAGCTAATGGAATATCGCAACGCTTCCCGGGTAGCGAGTTCCTCGACGGGCCACTGAGTAGGTGTTCGTGCTGCTTGCCCAATATTAGCCAAGTGCCAAACGTCAGACTCTCGTTTCTTTGTGCCAAATACTCACGGGTCAGGGGAATGGGAACCCCCTCGACGGACCGCACGGCCTCCTCGACGATGTTGTGGACGAGATGTGTGATGGTCGAATCGTCGCCAGGGAAGCTTGGTTGCGCCATGATGGATGCTCTCTGGTTGTCGGCCTCTGGATGCAATAGGAATGATCATGAGATGTCCAGGAAGACCATGGTGTTTGAAGTAGCGGAGAGATAAACAGGTTGCTCGCAAGTATTGTAGGCGCGTTCCAGGCGGTGACGGGATGACGACGGTGTTTTCTTGTGGATATGATGGTGGTGCGCCAGATCGTGGTGTGGAGGTTTACGGTTGAGGCCCAATCCGAAGGGACGTACGTAGGTGGGAGGGAAACTCTGAAGGCAATCCCGTCCCCCGTCTCACGCTGTCGGCAGACAAACCTGAGCGACGGGGGAAAGTGACGTGACTCGAACCGAGGGTCCGATAAGCCGATAACGCTGGGGAAACGGCCACTAAAACACGGTGCTCGTGCCTTAGCACTGTGACACGACACAGTCCCCGCACATGGCATTGTCGGCCAAATTGCATGTGTTCCGTCGAGCCACTGCCTCTTTTTCTCTCTTCAACTCATCGAGAAATGCAGATACGCATGTGTGCAGCCATGACGTCGAGCAATGCCTCTATCCAGCCATCGCATTCTGAAAGATGCATTTCCAGACATTTACAATGACCGCATGGCCCACATCATCCGACAGCGCGATCGCACAGCACCAAACATGCCTTTCCTTTCACTACTCTCTACAGCTCCCCTCGTTTCCGGAATCGATGTGTCCTCCAAGCGGAACACATGAAGTCGCATCCAATGGTCAGTCAACACTACGTGTTCCGACGCAGGAACATGAAGCATTGCGACATTGGCCCTGAGAGTTGGATTTGTCGAGGCTTCACGGCATAGTCGCGCACTTTCCGGACAAGTGGACGAAACCGTCACACATTTCTCAATCGACAACACAGTTTCTTCAGCCAATAGTATGTCCGGCTCCTCGATGGACAATAATCACAGAAACCCAGGGCTACTCCCGCAACAAAGTTCGTGAAAAGCAGCCTTGGGGAGGAGTAGACCGTATTACCTGGGTTCATTGATGACCCATATCGAGACAATAGCCTCTTGCTCAATTGCCATAACTCTCTAGGCACAGTATCGTCGATCCCAGTCTTGCACCTCAGGCTCAAGGTTTCCCGTACCTGGCTGCCCCTACCTTTGTTGAGTCTGTCATCCATGCAAAGCACTACAATACGCCGGGAGGCTGGCACGGCTCTGCTCGCCCGTTCGGGACCCGTTCTTGTTCACATGCTGATGAGAATGTATGGATTTGATTTGAAGGCGGGAGCACTACCTATGTATGCTCTGTTGACAGCTCGGAGTTGGTCACCTAAAATACCGCCCATTATCTGGTCCTCGTGCACAATGCCACGACCACAGATCGACACGGTGGCTGACCTGGGACATAGAGATCATTCGATGGATCAGCACACAATCTAGGCAACTAAATTGGGCCTTGGTAAGCCTGTATCAAACATCTCAGCTACAGGCACCCAAACTAGACCTTGGCAGGCTCTGCTGGGTCTCCTCGCAGCCCGAACCGAGCTAGTCGTAAACGCGAATGGAGGACACCTGCCTGCATGACCTGCATCTACGACACGGATAGTCTGGGTCTTACGTGAGATTCGCCAATTCATTGCGCCAGGCCGCCTCTCGCATTGAAAACGAGACACCAAAGCTGTACTCTCCAATGTGTTTGGTTCCAGCTGCGCGCCAGCTAGCTCATACATCTCGTCGTCGCCAAGCTAACCTCGCGGCGCTAAATCATCGTAGTGTCATCCTCCTGCTCGATCCTGGACCCTGAACCCCAGCTGCAGCGCCTACTTGGTCTCGTTCCGCAACCTTTGACGGTACAGGTTACCATATGCACAACCAACACAGCGCTGCACCCAGGCGCCAATGCAAACCATTCTGTAGACTAACATTCATGCAAGTCGCGCGGTCCCGCCGAAGTCCAAACGGTCGTCACCGCCTTGTCCTCTTATTCGTTGCCTTGCGAAGCAATCAATATCCTGACCAGGTCACTCGGGGCTAGTCCTGCAAATCCCCGCCCCCAAACATCTCATTGCGTGGTATTACACGGGAGCTACCACAGGCGCGTCAGCCTTAGATGTCGGCGTCAAGAGCTGATGGCGAACGGGGTTGGGGAGCTGCTTGCGAAGTGAGGGGTGGTTGCTCGGCTTCCCATGCCGACGAGCTATTTAAACTGGCGATGTGTCGTTCCAAACCTCGAGTGAGTGGACGCTCGTTCATTCAGTCTCTCCTTGGTTGCGAGGCCGTCTTCCTAATTGGCTCAACCAAGCGTCTTCAATACCAGCTCTGCTAGGCCATCCGACCTCAACTCGCTCACTATGGCGACCTACGGAGACCCCCACCACCCTTGCCCCCTTCTGTACCATCCAACAAGCGCTCTAAGAAGGCTCCTCAAGAGCTTCTGTCCGACTTCTGGGACAAGTTCCATTCGAAGCATCCTGGGAAGGTTACATCCATCTTCCCCCGGTCCCTCTATGCCTCTCTGCTCCCCGACTTCCAGGCACGAGGCGCCTCGTCCACCCGCAATGCCCAAGAGTCCTACGAAGCCGCCGCCCGCGAGTGCCGGGACAAGGTGAAGCGCATCGTCCGCGAGTGTGATCGGACGAATGAGAAATACACCGACGCAGACTTCGATATCGAGCGTGATCCCTACAGCAACTGCCTCAACGGCCTAGTCCGCGATGGAGACTTTGGCCCTGGCGGCAGCGGCGGCGCGGCTGACGATGGTCCCAACGTCAGCAGCTGGGACGTCAAGAATAGCTTCGATACCCTAGCTGCCGCTCAGGTCTTGGGTCCCAACTCCACCATTCCTATCGACCCGACTGCGGTGAGCCGCTACCTCGCAAGCGATGACATTTGGAACCCCTTTGCCAATGCGGGAGATCGTTCGGGAGCGAGGGCCGGAGTGAAATCGGGCCCTGTCAAAGCCTCTAAGCGTCGAGGTGTCCGAGGAAGCGAATGGTATAACCCTGGTTCAATCCATCGTGTTGACTGGATCTTTGATTCGCCTCAATTTACCGTCAATGGCTACTCCTCCTCCGACATCAAGCAGGGGGCCAATGGAGATTGTTGGTGGCTCGCCGCCGTTGCCACAATTGCCCACCGCAAAGACCTCATGCAAAAGGTTTGCGTTGCGCGTGACGAAGAGTGCGGTGTTTACGGGTTTGTCTTCCAGCGTGACGGCGAGTGGATCTCGACTGTCATCGACGATAACCTCTACCTCAAGGAGTCCGATTTCGACTACTACGGCGATGTCTACGACGCCAGCGGCAAGAAGGCCCGGCTGCACCGTAAACGCAACCAAACTGGCTCCGATGCGCTGTACTTCGCCCGCTGCGAGGATCAGAACGAGACTTGGCTGCCATTGCTGGAGAAGGCCTACGCTAAGGTCCACGGTGACTACGAGGCCATCTCGGGCGGCTGGCCCGGCGAAGCGGTGGAGGACATGACGGGCGGTGTCACCTCGACCATTGCTACCAACCGAGTGCTGCGGAAAGAGAGGCTTTGGAAGGAGCTTGTCAACTCCGATGGCGAGTTCGTCTTTGCTCTGGCCGCCATGGGCACTGGCTGGGACTGGCAGAAGAGCGGTCTCGCACTAGGACACGCATACTCCATTCTACAGTCCCGAGAAGACGTAGACGAGGACGGAAAAAAGGTCCGTCTCGTGCAGATCAGGTATGCCCTCTCATGAACATTAAAGCTTGTTTTCATCCTAACGTGTCCATCGTTAGGAACCCCTGGGGCGAACGATCCGACGGTGGTGTCGGCGAGTGGAACGGCCCTTGGTCTGACGGCTCGAAGGAGTGGACACCATACTGGCTGAAGCGCCTCAACCACACTTTTGGCGACGATGGTGTCTTCTGGATGTCATATGAAGACATGCTATCGACATTCATGTACATCCACCGTACTCGTCTGTTCGACGAGAAGTGGACTGTCGTGCAGCAATGGACCTCGGCCAACATCTCTTGGGTCACAGGGTACCTTCAGACCAAGTTCGTCGTTGAAGTCAAGAAGTCGGGCATGGTCGTTATCGTGCTCACGCAGCTTGACGACCGGTACTTCCATGGCTTCGAAGGCCAATACTGGTTCGAACTACACTTCGTCCTGCAAAAGATCATCCCAGATGCCGCTGGCGCCAATGCCAAGGACGGCGAGAAGAGCAAAGAGGCCCCCGAGCCAGAGCAGATCTGTCGTGTCCGCCCCGTGCACAAGTGGGAGAACCGCTCCGTCAGCTGCGAAGTCGAGCTGGAGCCGGGCGTGTACGAGGTCCTCCCCAAGGTAACGGCTGCCCGCCACCACAACGGTGACGCTGCCAAACCCGTTGAGGAAGTTGTCAAGGAGTATGCGGAGCGTAACCCGCAAAAGCTGCGACAGGTTGGGCTTCAGTACGATATTGCACACGCCAAGGGCGGCGTGCGGGACGAGGACGAGCTGATTGAGAAGAAGAAGCTTGAGGCGAAGCAGAAGCAGGAAAGCAAGAAGGCCAAGAAGAAGAAGAAGCAGAGGAAGGCGCTCGGCGTCGCGGCCAAGGCACTTGAGGAATCGGCCAAGGTTGTATCAGACCTGGCAAACGAGGGGAAGAAGACCGAAGAGAGTAAGAGCGCGGCCAAGACGGAGACCAAGAAGGATGCTAGCCAAGCAAAGGAGAAGGAGAAGGATGGCGACTGGACCGAGGTCAAGGACTCTGACAAGGAGTCTACTGGCAGTAGCCAGAAGTCTCCTACCACGGACGATAAACCAGCCGGCGTCGCCGGTTCCAAGCCTGGCGATGGACCTGCGCCGGAACCCAAGCAGGACGACGACAAAAAAGCCAAGGACAAGGCAGAGGAGAAGAACGAAGAGAAGAAAAAAGACGCTCCCGCTGCCGAGGAGGCCAAGCCAGCCGAGGCGTCTGTCGTACCCGCGCCGGTCACCCAGGAAGCAGAGGTTTCCGCAGAGCCGCCGGTCGAGGAAGAGGAAGATTCGGATTCAGACTCGGACACGGAGACCGTCGTCGATGATGATGGCGAGGAGCTTACCGGCACGCCGTGGAACGCCGTCTGCGTGCTTGGGCTGCGGGTGTATGCTCAGGACGCCGAGGTGGCTATCAAGTTGGTCAAGCCGAGCGATGGAGAAGAAGCTTCGAGCTTGACTGTTGACGGAGAGGCCGCCGGGGCTACTGCTTAGGGGTTCATGATCATGATGTTATGATTGGTATGATTGTGATGGAAACGCAGGATATCTCTTCTCGTTAGTTACATAGTCGAAAGTCGAGATTGACATTTTGGAATATCAAGAATACCTCGCGTCTTGAGATGGCTCTCGGTGAATGTATCTCGGTAGTATTTCCAATGGTCACTTCACGGCCAGAATGGTATTCAAAATGATGCTAGTTGCATTGGTTACCTATATATTCATTTAAAAAAACACCTGTGACGGAGTGGCCATCGTAATGGCTCTGATGATGAACCACTTGAAGATGGCACCCAAGAAAAGACAACAAGTGCCTCTCTTCAAGAGAGATGGGTATAGGCCTTTACTGGTCCTCAAGCAAGACGGCCTGAGACCTACTACGGCAAGGGAATTCGGCTCTTGGCCTTATCGTCCCTTCATCCTCACTTCCTCTGAGCCTAGAGACAGTACGAGTTGTCGGCCAGGGTCGTCATCAACCATGATGGTTGTCATCTCAAGGCAGAGTCTATGAGTATGAATTTTCTGTCAACAGTCTCGTCCATGGCGGCTTTGGTAACCTTTCAGAAGACCGTCTGTCTGCTAGCCAACATCTGGAGATGAAATTTCAGGCAAACGCTCACCCGGTAGCCTGGACGGGGTCCAAGGGCTCTTTCTGAGTGGCAGAGTTTTGTTCCCAAGGAGATATACTCAAGGCATCGTCAGGGTTCTATGGAATGCAAGCAACGTTTGCACGGCCACCAAGACTGGTGTTACGATGGCATGCCAGTCTTTCTCATTGACCCTGAAACTACGATATACTTGAAATATTGCTTTTCAATTGTGAGTAGTAGAGTTGCCAGCTCAAGCCATAGTCGTAGCCAGTCTTCTCAACAAGATGAACAGTCATTCCCCCTTACCGGGCGACAGAAGACCTTCCGTAGTTTTTGCACAGATACTCAATTTACGTTAAGGGGCAGAGAACACGCGCAGCGGGAGTCAGAATGTACAACACCAAGGCTCTTTGGCATATGGAGTAAACACTCTTGCCTCGGGAAAATCAGGCTCGCGATGCTGGCTAGTATGCTCATCAAACGATGCGGGCGCAGTTTGATGAGCACACTCCCGGGAAATCACAGGCGAGAATCTTCAACAAGGTTGACGACCATTAAGTTTATTCTAAACAATATTCTACCGTTACACCTAATATCAAGACTGGAATGTAATGAATCTCGATTCTATACAAGAACCCAGAAAACGTGTCTGCTTGTCGAATCTTCAGCCAGCGCGATTTCCTCCTGGCCCACCAGCAAACGAGTAATCCTTGGTCAAAGGGCACCAAGTCGGTTGCTCAGGGGTGTAAGGGCTCTCGGCGTAAACAAACACACAGTGGTATCCATAGACAGGAGTCACCAAGGGCTTGGAATCTTGACTGTCTTCTGAGACTGGCTCCGGCGTGTCTCCGGTCAGATTCGCGGACGAATGTTACGAATAATGACCGGGAAAGGAGGACACAGGACGAAACAACGGTAGATTCTAAGCCTTCGAGTCCAACGTGCCGGTTTTCCCACGAAATAACACATGACACATGGTGAGTCGTCCATAAGCCTGCTTTGTAATGGCTTTGTATTCTTTTCAACTCCAACAAAAAATCGTCGCCGACCTCCAGGTATCTCCCTGGACATAGCAATCTGGTGTTTCCCCTTTTTTTCGAGGCTCTTCTAGTAGGTAACAAACAACACTGAACCCCCGTTGAGTGGGTTTCAACGCCAACAAGTCTCACATAGGGACTCTTCAAACAAAGGTCGTAGCACGACGTCAGTAACCACCAGAGAAAGGCGTCATGTCGACCTTGGCCCCCAAGCAAATCACGCCCCCACCCCGACGCCCATCGTCTAGCATCGATTCCCCTCCCAAAACTCGCTTGATAGTATTTTGCCGGCTGTCGATGGCCTACCCTAGGCCTTCACACCCTGGTGCTTGGTCACGACGCTCTCAATCTCCCTGATCAACTCCTCCTTCCTCCCGTCGGAACACCAGCTCCCCTCCACAGCCCCCGTCGCGATGCCTCTCCACTCGTCGACACTTAGCCCAAACGCCTCTTGCACCGCGCAGTAGTTCTCGAGGATGTATCCGCCAAAGTACGCCGGGTCATCGCTGTTGATGCTGAATCGCACGCCGTGGTTCAGGAACGTGCGGATGGGCATCTCCCGCATGTCCTTGACGCCTCGCAGCACGACGTTGGACACGGGGCACAGGCTCAGCAGCGTCTTCTTCTCCGCCAGCCTCGCCAGCAGGGCCCCATCCTCCGCCGAGCGCCGCCCGTGATCGATGCGCTCCACGTCCAGGTCGTCCAGCGCCGAAACAACGAACCCCGCCGGCCCTTCCTCCCCCACGTGCGCCGTGCGCCGGATCCCCGCCTTCCGGGCCGCGTCGTAGATGGATGCAAACATTTGGGGCGGGTATGGCGCCTCGCTGCTCGACATGCCCACGCCCGCGATCGTGCCGTCCTGGAAGTGGCCCGCCTCCTGGGCCTCGACGAACATGCGCATGCCGTCCTCGACGGGGCAGTGGCGCAGAAAGCACACAATGTACTCGACCGTCATGCCAAAGTCGGCCTCGGCGCGACGGCGAGCGCGCCGCAAGCCCTCGATGACGGTCTCGTAGGCGACACCCCGGCTCGTGTGCGCCTGCGGGTCGAAAAAGACCTCGGCGTGACGCACGTTTTGCGAGTGTGCCTTGGTGAAGTAGGCGTATCCCAGCTCCTCAAAGTCGGTCACCGTCAGGAGCACGGAGAAGCCGATAAAGTAGTAGTGCAAAAAGTCGTCCAGTGATGTGAAGTTGCGGTACCGCTCGTATAGCGAATCGACGCAAGCGAAGGCCGGATCCTTGTCGACGGGCAGGGTGATGTTGTTCTGTGCGGCGAGTTGGAACAGCAGCTCGGGCCCCAGGGAGCCCTCGATGTGAATGTGGTGCTCGCACTTGGGCAGATCAACCAGGAAATCGTGGAGGCCGTCCTTGCACATGTTGGGCCGCTATCCCTCTGTCTTTCGTGGGTGTGGGTGTGTGTGACTTGTCTGGGAGTCTGCGATGTGTGGAGGGATCGTGGTATCCAGCCTGGTTCAGGATGTGCGGGTGATGTGCGAGGATGCCAGATGGGAGATGGAGGTGCAGACAGAGATGTTTCAACTGAAAAAGTGTGCCCAAGTCTGTGGTCGTTTCTAATGTCTTTTGTCGTTCACGACAAAAATAGCTGTTGGGGAACTTCTAGAAGTTTTGAAGGAAGAACGCACGGCCTGGTATCTGCCACCAAAGTCTCTTCTTACCCTAGTGTGTCGTGTCATTGAAAATCTCTGTATCGGCTTGGAGACAAGTGAATCAGACAAGTTCCCCATATCGTTGGTTACGTGATCAACCCATTGCGTGTCGTCGGCGAGCGCCGTGCCTGGTAGATCGGCGGAACACGGCGAAGTGAGGATCGGTCTCGTTAGCCGCTAAACTAGCCGTGTCCGGCTTGCGACCGAAAATTTGTGGTTCGGCCAAAACTTTTTCGTCTGGTACGTCCAGTAAAGTCTCCAACGGAGCCGTCTGGTGGAATCAAAATGGGCGGTCATCATCGGCGCCGGAGAAACAACAAGTTAATTCAAAACGTCCAGCATAGGCCAGGGGCAGGCTCTCGTGCGGGCGACGTTGAGTATCAGGTCCCCTTGACCAAGAAACTTCCCACGCCACGGATTCGGGGAAAAGGGAAGCCTCGCTAGAACACTGAGCAAATCCTCTCCCGCAGCCGGCCCAGTTTTCCCGGCTCGCGACGCCCTGCGGCATTAAACGCACGACCAGCGTAGCCGTCGAACGACATGATGGTTTGAAGGATCCATGTTGAAGCGAGCTAAGAGTAACATCGACACGGGGGCAACACTGGACGAATATGACCTATGACGAAACAAGCCCTGCAAGATCAAGCTCTGCGCCCCGCTTGTCACACGGCGCTGATGTCGCCGTGAATCGGAGACACTGGGCTGGCAACACCGGCCGACAAGAACATCTCATAGATCATACCGTCTTCTTTCCAGCGCTGATGTCGGCAACGGACGGGCCGGCGGGACTGTTGCAACATGCTGGACAATAGGATGGATGCCTGAAGCCACAGCGCGCCAAAGGACGAAGAAGAAAACTTTGGGTCGAATGGGCCAAGCTTTGACAAAAGCCAAGAGGTTGTCCGTGAATAGCATCTTTCTTCAGACACCAGATGAGAATGGCCTGATGAGGCGAGACGGCCAGCCACACACACGCACACACTTTCAGGCTCAATTACGACAGCCCTAACACTTTGAAACTGACAGCAAGTCCCAACCAATGGCTGCCACAGACGATGCTCACTCCATCGGTCGGATAGCTTCAGCAGTTCTTCCGGGCAGCGGCCAGCACGGCTGGCTCTCTCGGAAGTTCTCCAACTGGTTCGCGCATCCAGTTAAACTGTGCGCTTGCTGGCTAGCCAGTTATTGGATCCCGCGTTTCCAAGCCTCGAGAATCGCAACAGCCCTCTCACCCCCCCCCCCCCCCCCCCCTCTTTGACACAAAGGGGCTTGTCGCTCCTCGTCCCGAATCCCAGACCTTGGAACATTGCTTTTTCTTGTCGCAGACAACAGTAGCGGCCAGGAGAGACTTGCCGATTCCCTGGGTATTGCTTACGGCGGAGCTGGAGAAGGAAGAGGGTGGCGCCGCTTCTTCCCAAGCCCAATGACGGAGCCCTTGTAGGGATGATCCCAGAGCCAGCCTCAACGTCGACTGGGCGTCTCGAGGGGGCCGATGACAGATCCCAGTGTTTGACTGAACTGCGGGGGAGGGACCAGGGAAGATGGGCGGGAGAGAAAAGCCCGCTGCCGACCGGGGTGGTCTCGGTGGTCAGATCGGTCGTCTCGTCGATGGGCCGGGCAAGCCAGCCGACGGCGTACCTGCTGACCCTTGGTTTTGAATTTAATTGCTTGTAGTATTGGGGCCGAAAGGATGATAGTGTACCATTCCCAGGTCATGGGCTCTGGGTTGATGTTGGATGACGGCCGAACGTGCCCCCTCGGCCAGTTGCTCCGAACCGTCGAGCCAAGTAAATATCCAAGTCTTGGTCCTTGGTATGCTTTGATTATCAGCCCCATCCATGCTGGCAAGGGCTGTCCCATGGCATCTGTGACGTGAACCGTCGCAACCACTGATCTCTGGGCGACCAGAAGCCTCCCGCCAGTCGTGCACGAAAGCTTATCGACAGGAATAGTCCCGGTGACCGCGTGCGGTGGTTGAACTGGCTAGACTGGGCACGTCGTCCCTCGTCCCTTGTGTCTTTTAAGCTTGTCATGGGCGTTTCCGCGCGTGCGCCCGCAGGCTTGTGCGCAACCACTTGCCCGTCGTTCAAGAGATATGATGAGCGCCGCCCCGTTCTAATTCTGTCTGTTTGAAGCTGGCAACCATCTTCCATGTCAGACTTTCCATCGTCGTACCTTATCCGAAGACTTGGGATACGACCACGAACTTTTTTGTTCCAAGATCGACGCGACGACCTCGGACCACGCGGCATTCAAGCTTCTCGTTGACGCACCCAAGCGTACTGGTTGTGTCCTCCCGGCGTCGCCCTTCCGCCGTGCCTGTATCGAAACTGTGGGTGAGAAGGCTGCTACTGTCCGCCCAGCCTCCATCCATGTAGGGCCCCTTCCTGCTGATAGGGACGTGGGATTCGCTAGAGTTACCAGGCCCAAACTCCTGCACCCTAGCAAGGGGCATTTCGGGCCTCGCCGTTCCATTCGGCTTGTTGACCGCCTGTTGAGTAGGCTGCTGTACAAGACCCTAATCACTCCACGCCTTTAGCTGGGTCAAGTCCCCTGACTTGGCACCTACGGTCCTTGTTCACCAACGTTATAGGCGAACACCCGAGCGAAGAGAGCTACGGCATCACTAAGTTCGTTCGTTGACTGGCTCCGGGGGCTGTCGTTATGGACTGGTCTCCCGCGTAAGAAGGGAGTAGCTGACGGCCGAGCTACGTGCATATCTTCCACGTAGGTTGCATTGGGCTGGAGTCGAGTGTAAGCGTTGTTGACATGGCAGTGGGCTGCCGCCGACGGCACTGTTAAGCGTGTGCTGTGACCACGGCCTTCTGCATCACACTGCATGTCGTCGGCCTAGTGGTGTACTGCAGCGGATTGAAGCTAGGCGATGCGATATTACCAGCACCCGTCCCTGTGTCCCTTGCTCTTACAGCCATATCACATGGCGCGTCAATCCGGGTGTGCATGTCCGGTAGCTTGATTGTTGGATAATGGCGCAGCTATAAGGAAGAACTGAGTCTATTTTGTATTGTCTGCACCGCGAAAGGAAAACTTGCGTGGGATTCGAGAATCCTGGTCACGGCCTTGGGCCATTTACTTACACTTTGTTCCTGTATGCGGGGTTGCATACCACACCTAACCTGTCTGGTTTGTTGTTGATCACGCTACCCAGCAGCTGTTCTCTCCCGGCGGAAATACCGAATGGCACCTTGAATCCAGAGTGTGGTCGATGGCGTTCCCGGGGCGCTGTGATTGACCGAGTCTGGGTTTGTCTGCAACTTGGGTTGCTGCAATGATGCTTGCAGTGTAACCTGCGATGCACATTGTCCGTTTCGGTGCTTTGAGGGGGGTGCTGCTGGGGGTCCGGAGCATGTGCCACTTTCGACCCAACTCCGTCGAGGGCCGGTGCCGGTGACGGGTGCTAGGCCAGGCCTCTCGGTTATCATCCAGTCGTATCCAGATGGGCTGGACCGATTGGCTTCGCCGATGGAACTTGGCCAATTCGTACGTATGAGCCGGCAAGGCCTCCCGAGCTCGTCAGGTACGCCAATCGAGCCTACAAAGTTCAGTATGCGGTTCGGTGGGGATGTGTGTTGACAAAAGCACGGCTTTCCCTGGCTTTCCTGTAACTCTGATATACTACGCCGTCCAACCAACCAAGGCCACGCTCAAGTCGAGAAACCCGTGAGGTGAATGGCCCATACTTCGTATATAGCGCAGCGGGACACATTTCCATACCAAGGTCTAAGGTTTGGCTATTAATACAAGCAAGTGCGGAGCCGATCGCATTCTTCCACGCATTCGGCATTCGGTTGTGATCAGATGCTTCGGCTCCACAGCTCCTTTGGGATAAAAGTCCTGGCTATAGCTTATGCTCTTAAGCTGCGGCACCGAAGAGCTAGGCACTGTCAAACTAGGGAGCGGAGGAAGAGGAGGCGTCTTGAAGGAGGGGTCATATCGTAAGGTACCATGGATGGAATCCAACGATTTCGAGTCGACAGGAGAAATCGTCGGTGGCGTGCACGATTGCGGACGTGCGACGGTGATGGCAACCCTATCGCCTCCAGTCCCCCATGGTAGTTATCGGGGCCCTGAGATTGCCGTCATGTTGCAACCCCTCCCGACATCGTCATTTCTCGGCCGCTGTGGGGTTCGCAGCCACCGTGGCCCTAGTCGAGTGACCCTTTCTGCCTTGCGCTTACCGATTCCAACGTGGCCATCTAATGGAGGAGGTGCCGTGGTGCACGACTCGGGGATCGCGTTACATTGCTGCAAACTGACTGCGCCGGCCGGTTTGCAACGAGTCGTGAAATGAACGGGTCCATCCTGATGCTCGGTTGTATTGCAATATGTGGTGCAGTCGCATCAGCCGGGTCACCACCTGTCACCGATCACCGATCTGCGCTTACGTCACGCAAGATTTTATCGAGGTTCGGAAAACTGGTCCCAAAGCGGGAGTCTGAGATATTTGGCGTGGTTGAACAGCTCCCGAGGATCATGTAGAGAGCTGTCGGGTTTCCGGGCTGTGCAGCCACTCGTTGTGATGATTACTTGCAGTGTCCCACACCTCTCCTTTCCTCACCCTCGGTTACTGCTTCAGTCTCCAGTGACAGCAACCTCCGCCTCAAGCAGTAATTGGCAGTCCCAAGAAGCCCTGCTCATGTCTGGCTGGACGCAAAAATCTTTCCAGGTGCCCCGCGTTGCGATGCGTGGGCCCAGACATTGCGTCAGCGTTGAGCCTGGTCTATTTGTCCATAGGACTAGTATCGCCGCTTGAGAGGAACAATGTCGATGTCTGCAATGGGGGTTTGAATCCATCTTAAGACGTCTCTTATCACTACCCTTTGATTTGCAATGGTTGATGCAGATCTGCGGAGTATCAAGCCTGACCATACCGCCGTCGGCCGGTGGTACGTACAGGCCGTAGGTTCGTAATCCTGTACCCGGACATGCGGAAAACGTCCCAACCCCATGGCGGATGCGTCCGGTATATAGCATACAATTTACTATGTAAACTCTGTTTTTTTGTTATAGGAAAAGGCAGTGCCCCCTCTACCTTGACAAGGGAGGTAGGTCTCTTGTATCGGAGGATTCGGCCACCAATGACCGTTGTATGGCTTGCCAAGGATGTTGCTTGGGCCACGCCGATTCTGGGTGCATTCACCACCACGCTGTGAGCAACCATGGCAGTCGAAGCAGCGAAGAAGCCAAGGGCGTCGGAACCTACTCTCGCCTCTGGTGGCTTTTCTAGCCGTGGGCATGATTAGCGTGTGCTTGCCCGCCGTGTGCCGTGGCACACAGAGTAACTGTACATTGCATGTTGTACATTGTATGTCACCCCGCCGGACGCATGGACTTCGGGAAGTGGGAAGCTGCATGGCAATGGCAGCGTACCCACCTCGTTAGTGGAGAGAGCTATTCTTGCTGAGAAATGGTTGCAAGGAATGCAGACGTAGTCGCGTGCGTGCGGCTGGACTCTCACCAGCAGAGGCCCTGGGCAACGCTACCTCTCTCCTCCTCCCAAGCTCCTCCTAGCTCACTGGTCGGCGCAATAGCGTACGGTGTACTGCGTGTCGCAGGAGCTCATGCTGACTTGTTGAGTCTTGGCAAGGACAGGGTTTCATGAACCTGGCGCAATCGACCTGTTCTCGACACACAGCAGCGGAGACGGAGCGTCCCAGCGCGGGAAGACGCGGTTTGCGAGATCAAATCTCGCGCAACCAAGATGGTATCCCCCAAAGGTCAGAAATTATGCTATTGGTCGCTTCGGCTGGCTTGCCGACGGCTGATAGACCGAGCAAATGTATAGGTGGCACGACGCATTAGTGGTGGCGGTAGACCGGGGAAGCAGAGAGGAAAGCATGGCATGGTGAGCATTCTGCCGAACCATACATAGTACCAGTATGCTCTGGTGTGATTGCCTCGAGGTTGTTCTGCTGCGGCAGGACCGATGCTACGCCAAGTGCGTGGCAGTCTGGCACATGTTCGGGAAAACAGACGCTGAACGTGGGAGACCTGGCGGGCTTGTCGGAGGAAATTTCGGCCCATCGGCAGCGATTTCGATGCATCATACGGGGGCGGCCTGCTAGACCCGCGGCCGTGGCATACAGAGATCAACAAACTGGTCATCTCGGGGCTTCTGCCGAATGGATGCGTCTGACCAGGCCGCTTGCTGCAAACACCTGTCCAGGGGTGGGTATTAGTCCGTATCGTAGCGCAAGTTTGATTGATGAAAGGCACGTTGAAGGCTGAAGAGGGCTTGGCCAGTGTCGTACAAAGGCGGGAACTCCACCGTTGCAAGTGTTATCCCGGGCATCTGGCCGAAGACGTCGACAGTTGAGCAGAAGATCTTTGCCTGCTTGCCAAGAGGCGTCCAGGGCATGCTCTACATAGGCAACGTGCGATTGGACTGTGGACTGTGGGCATGCCTCCGTTCGCACGTTCGTTGTCAACGGTTCAAGGCCAGGCCTGGCCATCTCTTGGCCCTGTCGTCCGAGGCGCTAGTGTTGAATACCCCCCCCCGCATAGTAGCATCTGTGCATGTTCTCTGTTAGGAAGTCGAAAACGGAGCTTGTGGGACATGATTCGGGGAAATTGGACGGTCGTTACACACTGAGAAAGTGATTTTTGACGGCGCCACTTTATGGACTTTTGGGGACATCCGGATGCTGCCGACTGATCAGAAGTCATGGAGGTAGGTGGAAACCCTTGAGTGGGCATAAAGTTGTCAACCTGCGGGCTCGGTACGTAACACTGCCACTAGCCCAGGAGTCGGTCGTCATCAAATTCCCCGGTTGGCATAACCCCTTTCACGGACTACGGAACATCCAACATGTGTTCACGTTATGCATCGCGCGCGCGTTCCCTACTTTGTGCCTGCGAAGGGAAACAGGCAGGGACTTGGAAGATGAGCATGGCTGGCGTGTTGGTGACTGAAGCTAGTATATCTTGACATCTGAATGCAGAGCTTAAGTCGTCCAAGAGCCCGCTTCAGGAGGGCGCGTGTCGCGTTTGCACTTTGCGAGGAGGGAGGCTCGGAGGACACGGATATCGGAGACGAGATTGGTTCGGCGGCGTGGGGCCGACGGCTCCTAGATCGGCAGAAGCTTGAAGCAAGCAGTAGGGGGCAGTGCGGAACGCGAGGTCCATGGCGATGTCGAAGCGGGTGCGTATGGATACATTGACTGGCGTTCAGTGGTTGGAATTAATTCCGGGCCGGGATTTTGGCGGCCTTCGGGGCTAGAGCTGGCCGCCGATGACCCCTTGCCAGCCGTGTGGGCTGTGATGGAGGTTGTCCGGACGTAGCCATGCCCTGCAAGATTGATGATAGGTATGCGGCTGGCAATTCCGTCGCAGAGATCAAGAACAGAGCATGCAGTTCGTCTTGGCCCCGGCAAGCTAAGTGATCGGGAAAGGACGCACGTGTTGTCTAGAATTACGACCGTTGGAGGAGTAGTGCCGACCCAATAATTAGGCATGCGTTGTTAATGGAAGGGCATGGTGCCATTCGACGGGACTGTCAGACACCAACCGCGGCCTCGGTGTCGTTGCATCCGCAAGAATACCTAGTGGTCTTGGATATGCCGGCAGTACAGGATGACGCGAACTGGGACTGTTCGAATGCGACGGACGAGTTGGGTATGCACGTCTCTGAGTCGCCGGCGCAGATCCCAGCTTCGACTCGAAAGCTTGGCAGCCCAGGTAACGAACGTGCGAGGCTGTGACAGGACGATATCAACGCAAGAAGAGCATCATGAACCGAGGGCGAGAGCACGGTCGACGCAGGAGACAAGGCAGAGAGCTGTTGCGTAGTGTACAGTATCGTGCGGGTTCGAGACCTGCAAGGCAAAGTCGCGGGTTGCAGATCATCTCTCAACAGCACAACAGGCCCCCTGCTTAGGGTTCGGATGGTTTGCCGGCATGCGTCGTAGCACATAGATTGCTTTGGGGTCGACGCCAAGAGAGTCGGCCTTCACCAGGGCAAAGCATGGGGTGCTGTTTTATCGAGGTCAACGGTTAACGACGGACTGCTGAATGTTCTGGCCACCATGTGCGTGGCGAGCGGCAGGCTAGATCCAAGTTCCTGGTTCTGGCTTGACTGGGTGTGGTGTACTATGTATGGACGCTAGGTGCCGCGGGTATGTAAGTGTACGTTGCGCCGGAAGTTTATCCGCCCAAGGAATCCGGAATCCGTGAGGCCACGAGCATTGATGGGCAGTGGTGTGATGTTGGAGGAGAGAGAATGGGAAAGTAGTCCGGTTGAGCATCGGGAACGGCAAGGGTCCATGGAGCAGATGCAACAGAAAAAAGGATTTGATGGAGACGACAACAAGGACCAGGATCAGGTGCCGAAGAAGGAAAGAACGAGTCCGAGGGATTCGGGACGGCAAGACAAGGTACGAAACTGTGGAGGTACGGAGGTACATCGGAGGATCTCCCTGTCAGGACAGAGGGGCCAACTCCCATCCTGGCCTAGCGGACAACGTAATCCTGAGGGTACGTACCGCTGCCCCGGTCCGATGAGGGACCTGCAGGTATGTACCTCGATACAACCTCCCTCCTCCCTCCTACATCCACTGCTGGCCCGAGATCAACATGGTTTCGCTCTTGTGCGGGATCTGGAGGCACGGAGTCCCTGACGGAAGATACCGTCGTATGAACAAGTGCAGGAGTAGGCGAGCGAGCGAGGGACTTCCTCCCGTCATGACGCGGGAGGAGGAGTCGCGCCAGCCCAGAGATTGGTTTCTACTGTGCATACACCTAGTACACTCACTACCTAGACGTCTGCTCTCCTGATCTGTTCTAGGAACCACGGAACTGTCGAGCGAAACTTTGCTTCCCCCCATTGCTGCTGCTGCTGCTGCTGCTGCTGCATAAGGCCCAGGAGATTAAGCAAGTGCCGTCTGCCGAGTTCCAATGGACCCAACCTGACCGCCGATCTCACAGTCAATCTCATTAACAGACGCCTCAGGTAGCCGGGAAGACGGCTACATACTTGGCTACCTACCTACATAATATGTGTCTACCATGTACGGTTGCTGACATGCAAGGAACATATCTCGCTCCGCGGCCATGACTCCGGGTGTACCCCGTACTCCGCACAGCGAGCAGTTTGCCGCATCGATTCGGCGCTCTATCCAAAAACAAAAACAAAAACAAGTAGATTGTTGTGTGGATGGTTTCAAAAGATGTTGTGCCGGCAGACATCATGAGGGCCTGCCCGATGCCGAGTCAGTCGAGTATGAGATTGGAACGAGAGAGAGGTGATGCTGTTTGGGAGCAACTTCTTCATGTACCTGTCAGCAGCACTTGGGCATCGAGGTACTCGCCATGGAAAAGCTCCAGGCCCTCCCTCTCTACCCCCAAAGACCAAAGACTCCAACGCAAGACTCCAACTCAACACCGAAGTTTGCTTCCTCGTAAACAGCCCCGCTTCTTCACTTTCCGTCCATGGTCTTGCATTTCCTGCCTTAGGCCCGCATTCTTTCGTTTTCTGTCATGGACTAAGGCAAGCAAGTCAGGGTGGCAGCAGACACCGCGGCCCGGGGAGGGCCTAAGGATCATCAGAGAGGGGGAAGGATGGCACCGGACACTTTCCACCTCGACGGGCCTGCTCTGGGCCCGCGCCGACTTGACCTGTGGTGCACTGCACTACTCTAGTACATAGTACACAGTGCATACCTAGTGTACTGAGTCCTGACTTGCTGGCCTGGTGCTTGTTAGCTTCTGGGACCTTTCCCCGTCTTAGTTCTGTCATTGAGCTGTCGATCTTGTCCATCTTCATCACACTTGCAGCAAACCTCCCTGCTCTTCAATCAACCCAATGCCGACCTGTTTCCGTCCGTGCAGAGAGAGCCCTTCTGCGCCGCCGCCGCCCTGAATGACTCCGGCCAATGCAGGCCAGTGCAAAACTGCTCCCATCCCCATTGCAACTCCAACAACAGCTTCCAACGGCCCATGAACCAGTCGACACCACTCCCGGCACAGCGCATGCCGTGCTATTCCTAGCTTGTTATGGTGGCAACCCTCCCACCCCACCCTACCACCACCTCCATCACCGTCGACGCCGACTCCATCGGTACAACCCTCTCCTGCCTCCTACCTAGCACCGTCATCGCTTGGGACCGAGGTGAATGATACTATGTACTTGAGCCCTGCTCGATCGACAGGGATCGCCTGACACTGAGAGAAGTGCTCTTGGTTTCCTTTGCCGCCTGATCCCGAGCTTACAACGAACGCTTCCCAGGAATATGTAGTTAGTATTGGCCGGCTGCTTAGAAAGCCCCTCAGGCAGAAAACTCTCCCGGCCAGACCAAAGCAGGGCATCAGATCAGACCTGGACAGCGCAAAACACAGCGGAACAGAACACAACACAGGAACAAGACTCTGAACCTTCCGCAAGCCCACCGACACACACACTTTCACTTGCTTCAGAGGCACGGCTTACAACCTGTTCCGTCCTTGTCCGCCAACCGTCTCTTGTTTGGGAATGGCCTGATCCCGCCTGGTTGATCAAAACAAGCAATACTAGATAAATTTTTCCATGTTGCTATTCTTGACACGCCCACAGCCAACTCAGCCTGGCGAGGCGAACCCTCTGACAGTCAGATGAGCTTGGCTTCCGCTCTACTTCCTCTGCATATGCGGGACATTCAGACTCTGGCTCTCAACCCTATTCCCCTCAGACGAACACTGATGAGCAGACATGCGCCTCATCCTGGATGCAAGCTCCCACCAAGGCCGGCAAACTAGCCACAAGAAGAAGCGTGCTGGAGACGCACTTGAAACCACCGTGGATGAACTAACTCTCTGAGAGCTCACATCATCACGGCATGCACATACACATGTCGTCTTGGTCGTTAACAGAAAGCCGGACACTATCTCACACTACTCTTCGTCCCGCGAAACAGGCTGTGCCACCTACACCACGCTCGACGCGCTACAGTCACACTCCAACACCAACAGCGACGGTGCCACGGCTCGATACCCTCCCGTGCAGCAGCTCAAGACTCGAGGTCGAAGCCTGGTCCCTGTCGGAGCCCTCAACCCCTGGCTCCGATGGGGTACGAGCACAGAGACATCGCCCCAATCCTTCTGGTTTTTGGCTCATCTCTCAACCCTCCTGGACTGGAGGCGTCGACAGTTTGCTTACATTTTTTTTCCCACCCACATCAGGGTGTCACGTCACCGCGGCTACAAGCGCCCATTACTGTTCGTCAACGACGGTGCACCACCCACCACCCACCACCCATCCACTCGACAAAAACCTTGCAACGACAGCCTCGGAAGCGGTGGCACTAAAGAAAGAAGCTTGAACTCCAAGGTCACTACGTACTGCTCAAGCCTGGCGTCGGTTACCTCGCTACCATCCACCAATTCCCC